TTAAAAGATACGCTCTCCATCTCAAATTAGTAGTGGCTTGCCCCTGTAAATCATACTTTTCCTTTAACAATAGAGCCGTGCCGGTCATCTATCTAACACATTACAGGGGAAAATTTTAAAATTCAAGTGACACGACTTCTGTAATTATTATATTTTATCAGAATTTATTATTTAAAAATTATTTATTTATTTCTATTTTACATAACGGCTGTTTAATCTATGTTCAATATATTAAAATAAAAGTTAAATTGACAAAATTAAGTAATATTAAATTGCAAATTAAAAAATATAATTTAATTTTATATAATAACTTTCTATACAGTGTAGGGTGCTCACGAATACCTCACAATACCCCCTTTTTTGCCTTGCGTGAAAGCATCAGCGCTCAACGAAAGGGGGAAGATGCACAATACATATTTTTTGCTTATTGTCTTCACAGAATATCTTATTTTATACCATAAAATATTTTAAAGATATAAACTCAATAAATATAATTTGCAAAAAAAAAGAATTTAAGTTCATGCCTGCCTAAATTATTTAATTTCTGTTGTAAAATATATAAAATTAATGATCAAGTATTAATTTTTCAAAATTTATCTATCTTAATATATAATAACATTAAGGTAATTTTACTTGTTTATAAATTATAAAAAAAACAATAGATATTTATTGTAGGCTATAAATATGTGAATAATAATTTAAATTTACTTGTACAATTAAGTAAGAATGAAATGTAATTAATGGATTTCCTACATTTTGAATGTTATAATTATATTATCCTACTTACTGCAATAAGTATTAATTAATCAAACATGGTAGCATCGTTGTCAAATGATTATATCAAAATATCAATTAACTGTTCATACACGACAATCACTCTTCATAGAATCACTGCTTCAGAAGCAGAATTTTCCACTTTGTATAGGACATACTCTTTCGTTAGAAATATATTTTATAGCACCAAATTTGGCATGAAGCACCCTAAAGCCCACGTCCTATTAAGCATCAACACCAGGCTCGTACAGTTAATCTTTAACTCCTTAAAAAATACTGTAAAAAGTATAGCCAGTCCATATACACCTATTGTCCACCCTCTCGAGATCCCAAGCAATGTCGAACGTAGCTAGTTTATTTATTAATAAAATTATTTTAGAACAAATTTTGGAAAAGATTTTGGAATTTATTTTTAGAGAAAACGTATGATTGAATATATTGTTTTTAATATTTAAAATTATTAAAACATTTTTAATACAATATTATAAACATGTATTATTAAAATTGTTTCAATCATTTTTGAAATAAACTTTAAATATAATTGATTTATTTGACACTGATTAAATCTTCGTCTCTAGATAAATATTTATCTGATCTGTCAGGTAAAAAAATAAATAAATAAATAAATAAAGTAGACAGAAATCAATAAAACATTTTCTAACAATTTATTAAAACAATTTTTCTCTCTTATTGTTCATCTGACCGTGTGGCTGTCTGTTCGTATTTGAAATNTATAATATATTTATTAAGTTAAAATAAAATTTAAAAATAAATCAAATATTATATAGTTTTCAATTAATTTTTTAAAATAAAAATTTCAAAACTACATACGTTGTTATTTTTATTATTATTATTATATTGTCAACTTTATAAATTATATTTACATATTTTAAGTGAATATTTAAAATTAAAAACTGAACTAATTGGGCTGCAATTTGAAAAAATTGAAGACATATAAATTCCCACTGTTGTTCAATGTCTGTCTTTCCTTAATCTCAAGAATGGAGTTAGATAGATGAAATCTGAGATGAGAAATGGAAATCTTAGGGACAGGAGGCCTCAATTAACTATATACAAACTTCCAGTACAATCCAGAAGTCACATTATTTCAATTAAAAAATTCCCCCTGAAAGGAGTTATATAGATGACAGCATGACTGTGCTAACAGGAAAAGTATTAAGTACTAATTTGAGATGGAGAGCATATGTTTTAAATTAAATAAATTAAAAGAATGTGATTAAAAATTGTAGCCCAGCATTGTGCCAATGTCACAATAAATAATTGCTTGTTGAAGATGTTATGTTCTTTGATTATATTAAATTTTTTTTTGTTTTTTTATTTTATTTTGGTATACATACAGAGTCCCACTAGTCTGAACACTGCTAATCCGAATTTTCACCTAATCCAAACATGTTTCGGCTGAAGGAGAGGAAACTTTTTAGCTCACAAAATATACTTTTTTTTCCAGTTAAATTTAAATGGTGTTAATGGTACAAAAACATTTAGAATTCACCACCTTTTATTAGTTTGTTGAGATGAACGGCTTTTTCTCTAACAAGAGGTCCACTTAGGGGTGTTTCCCTTTCTCTTTCCTGAGTGAACCACGTGAATAAGGCTTGTCAAATGTTGAGGGCCTTGTTGTTTGTCAATTTTTAACTGATTTTTCTGAAGTAGAGGTACAAAACTGCTCAATCTTTGTGCAGTTTTTTTTTCCCCAGTTGGTTATTGTGATCTTGCCCACTTCAAACTATACTGCCAATTTCATTGCACTTTCACCCTTGTCCAGCTTATCTTTCAATGTACACATTGTGTGTTCCAGCGCTGTCCAACTTATCATAGCCCGCGGGCCATATTTTCTTCACCAAACATTTTGGGGGCCAAGAAGGTTGATAAATGAAAAGTCTGTTTATGTTAATTATACTAAATAGTACCTACTTTATGCAAACTAAATAGTACTTACTTTAAATTCAAATTAGATTTAAATTTTCACATAGTAAAATAATTTTAATATTAATAATAATAATTTAGTAACATAAATTTATTCATAGTAAAATGTACTCGCGGGCTGTAAAAATTATTTGACGGTCCGTATACGGCTCGCGGGCCGCCAGTTGGACAGCCCTGGTGTGTTCCATTTTGTGGCCATTGTAGCAGCAGACTAAACTGAACTAAAATAATGTAGAACGTAAAGTACATTCAACATCCACAATTAAGCATGCTAACTCACACAGTAGCATCAGTGAACTGATTGGAATCTTGGACTGTGTATTAAAAACAATGTTTTTTACACAGTTAAAATAATTTTAAAGTAAACAATGAAGGCAGGTTGCCATTTCAAAATCACAAAACTTATTTTTGTTAATTGTTTGCCTCTCTATTGAGTACAAGTCAAATGAAATAAAGAGTGGTGCACTGAGATCATTGATGGTGTTGGATCTATATAAACCAGACCTGTTTTGCTGCTTGCTTATGCATTATTTCAATTATTCAGCTAATTCGAACAGGGCTCAGTCCCAATTAGTTTGTACTAGCAGGACTCGACTGTATATTCAATATTCAGTAAAACTAACAAATTATAAATGGCATGCAATTTATTAAATTTTGATGACAAAGGCATACAATCTTATTATAGATGATCTTTTGTAGCTTGTCCTGTTTTCTGTGGCTTCTTTCCCTTCATGTTCATTTCTTGTTTATAGCCATACACTTAAAATTCCTCAAATGAAATCTCCAGCTGTTCTGTCTCCAAATTGTAATCATTAAAGATAGTGAATTTTTACCTTGAGTATCATGATCAGAGTTGCTACTTTAGTTTATGGAGATTATCTTGCCAACCTGAATTAAATCAAAACAAAAATTCAATGTCTAGGTGGAACCTGTGGATTAGTTTGTATTATGTTTATAAAATAATAGTTGTCTATGTATAGTTATTAATATTCTATTAAGATTATGCAATGATGAAAACTTCTGACTTCATAGTAAAAGTGATTTCAATCTCTTTACAGTTTCTATTACATGCAAAGCATAAAATTATTATTTATAAATGCAATTTATTTTCTTAAGATATTAATTATTTTAAGAAAATAAATAAAATAATTAATTATTTTTAATGGTTTTTTTTCTTTTCCTTTTAAAAGATTATAGATAAATAAAAAATAGAAATTTATGTTTTTATTTATTATTTAATTAATAAGTCTTAGCTATAATTTTTTATATAATTCATTTAAAAAAAATTAATCCTTATTCAGAACATAATTCTCTATCACCAGAAACGTAATAACTTCATATCACTGAACCTCTTCAGCTTCCAATAAAACATGGAAAATGTGACAAATTATAAACTTTTTTGGAATCCACCTGATTCCAGCTTCACGTTGAAATAGTTCATTTCAAATTGGAATGCACTGAATAGAATGCATGTGTAGCATTCAGATTTGAACAGGCCTGTATAAGACATGCTATGAGTACATTCTATTCAGTGCATTCCAATTTGAAATGAACTATTTTAACCTGAAGTTGGAATCAGGCGGATTCCAAAAAAGTTTGTAATTTGTCACATCTTCCATGTTTTACTGTATGCTGAAGAGGTTCAGTGGTATGAAATCCTTATTCGGTTTATTAGAAGTAAACAAACTGGTGTTTTTAAATAAAAAGAAATCTTTTTATATAAAGATATTACATAAATGGAATAAAATTATAATTTGCTAATAATTTTAGAATAATGGAAATTAGAGAGAATTAAAATTTTATTCTAAACTGAGATTAAATTTTTGATAACCTATTAATTATTAACCTATTGATTACAGCAAAATTTATAATTGTAGTGGTTATGAAATAGATGAAATTAACTTAAAGATATTGCACATAATTGTTTAGAAGAAAATTTAATGCTAGAATAGATAAGGAGAACAGGAGCATACAGTAAATATAATTGTTTAGATATAAAATTAAAATTGATAAAATTTTATTAAACTTATTTATTTTTAAATTAAACATAGGAAAAAAAAATTAATTACAGCATTAACAAATATCTTAGATTTAAAATTTAATTCTTATTCAGGATACTTATACAAACTTATTGCTTTATATTGTTTCAAACTTTGCCAGTGTTATTAATGTTAGTATTTTATTCATTTATTAATTAAATAGATAGATTTATATATTTTATACATAATAATTTCTGAAACTTAACATTTTATTTGTGAAATGTTGAATATTAGATCAACATTTAGATAAAATCAAAAGTATAAGGAAAATATTGATTTTCAGGAGCAGTCATTTAAGCGTCGAAAACCATTAGAAAGGGTGCAATCTTTTGCTTCTTTATTGTCACCAGTAAACCATGTGAAAAAAGTTGGGAATGCTCTTCAGGTATGTTAATGACTAACAATGAATAAAAAATTACAATAACATGAATATTGCAGTATCAGAATATTAGCAAAAAGTATTAATGCAATTTATTTATTTAATCATCAAATTAAGCAAATTATAATGTGTTAATTAATGCTTATTGAAAATATATTTAAGTAATGGTTTTTCTCTGCATGTTTTTTAGCGATCATTTAGTGCAATAAAACTATCTCCATTGTCACTGAAATTTTCCACCCCAGAACATCGAAGATCTATGGCAGCTATAGAAAATTCTTCCATGATAAATTTGTCTTGCACTGATCCTATAAAAAATACTACTAAAAGAAATGCTTCAAATGATTATAATTCCTTCAAACAGTCTTATTACCAACCACCAAAAAGACGTTTGTCATGCTTATGGTTAGAAACACTTTCTCATGCAACTGCAAAATTTATGAAAGAGAAATTGACAAGACAGGAATTATATCGTCAGGAGGTATGTGATTTTGTTTATGAAATTTATCACAGGACAACAGTCCTCTCATTAGCATAAATATTGCATTTAATTTAATATTAATTTTATCATCTCTCTACCTTTAGATTTAACAGAGTAGTCTTTACAACATTTTGAAGAAGAAACATATTTTATAATATGTAAAATTTTTAGAAAATTTAGAAAATAGAAAATTAAAACAAATTTAATAAAATATAAATATTATTTATACTTTGAAATAAATACAAGAAAATAAAAAAACTGTGTATACATTTTACTTTTCTGTTCTAAAATAAAAAAAAGTTAATGTTTCAGTTAATCAGAATGAAGAAAATTCAAGTGTAACAAAACTAGTTGAATGACTTTTGTCAAAGATACACTTAAACTGGATGGACTCAGTATATTAAACTGGAGTAATGTTAACAATATTTTAGGATAACAGCAATTTGTATGATCTTTTTATAATCATAGTTATTTTATATTACAAATTTAAACATTGAGATTCATAGTTCAATAATAATATAATATGTAATTAATAATACAAAATGCATCAAAAATGAATGAAAACTTTTTACATTTGTCATTTTTGATAGGTCTTGTTAATTGTCATTTAATTTTTGTAATATTTAATCAATTTTATTTTTTTTGAATACTTTTATAATAAAATTTATTTGCCAATGTTATATCTTTCAAACCATTTATTTTATATAAGTACATTGTGTGAATATTCATTGTAATAAATTACAGGCAATCTATGAATTATTTCAAGGTGAAAATGATATTTTAGAAGATTTAACATTAGTTAAACAAATTTATTATGATTCACTTCTCTATCTTGAAATTTTAAATCCTGATGAATTGCAACAAATCTTTGGTTCTTTTCATGAGTTAATTCCTCTTCATCAAAGTAAGTATCAATATATTTTTTAATTATTAGTTATATATATATATAGAAATGTAATTTACATACATTTTATTATTTTGATTTTATATAAAATTTACTTATTTGATACAAAGTATTGTGAAATTTTTCAGCATTGATTAAAAATATGAAGTGTAGTCAACAACATGATGGAACTATTCAGAGCATTGGTGAAATAATGTTAAATTGGGTATGTTAATACTTCATTCTTATTTATATTTGAAAATTTATTTAAAATGTAATATTGCATTATTTACATCATTATTACTGATAGGATGATACCAAAATTTCTCCTGATTTCTGATTCTTTTGAATATTTTCTAAAGTTTATTTTAGTTTAGAAAAATTAGATTTACATTATAAGCATGGTCCATTCATTAATTAATAAACATTGAGTATGAGAATGGAAAATAATTGGGAAATTTGGAATTATGTTTTGAAAGAAACCCAAAAATCTCCATTTATATATGGATATGCATGCTTTTATTGTGTATTACGAAATAACTTTAATGTTATTTCAGATAAAGTTAATATTACAACACTCCTGAAAGAAATTACAATTAATTCCCTTTTACTCAAAGAATTATCCTATTGTGTCATCTAGGATTGCCATCTTTGGAAATTGCTTCCTTGGCTAACACCATGACCAGGGGAAGATAAATGGGAAGATGCAGTTCTTTTTTAATATTTTTTTATCTTTAATCTTTAATATTTTTAATCTTTTTTAATATTTAATATGCAGTTCTTTTTTATTTAATGCATTATTTTACAGAATTTAACACTAAATGAGGTTTGACAAATTGTATGAGCTGAACAAATGCAGTCACGAGTTAACCAAGTTTTGAATTCATTCACTTAATTAATGAACATAATCTGTTCCAAGACTTTGTTCACTATCTGAATTGTTTGTTAACCAACTATCGATATACCATAGATTTTTATGGGAATTTGATTAATCTGTTCTGGAGACTCAAAAATAAAAAATTATATACTTTCTTACTATGTTTATTTATATGTAATAATAAAAATACATATACACAATCGTGCATTTTTATCAGTCATATTTTTTCTGTTTGTGGGGCGTTAGAGAATCTGTCCAATGTCGATTGCTTTTCTCTCTTTTTCAGGATTTTTCAGAAGTAATTGATAGCATTATCATCGTAGAGATCCCTAAGCTTATTTACCTATTTGCTTGGATTGGATGCCATTCTAAGACTGTTGTTCTGACATCCCCCCACTTCTTCAAAAGATCTTTAATAGCAGATGTTGGCATTAATCCTCTTTTTCAGAATAAAACATATCTCACCAAGTTTCTTGATCAGTTTCAGGTTTCGTTATGAGCTCTTCAATGTTTGTTATTTCTCAGATGTGATTTTTGTTACTTCTTTAGCTGCTTGAGTCTTCTTGATTATATTGTATCTTTCTTAGATAATATTGAACTGCAACCTACTGTAGACCTGTTCAAGCTGTATGGCTTGAACAGGTCTACAGTACTGCCCAACAACATCAGACATTTTCTGTTCACTTTATCTTTGCTATTATATTCTCACTTTTTGAAAATAAAAACTTATGCAAAACTTAATGAGTGCTTGCTTGACTGTCTTGCAAATACTGTAAAAGAATTGTTTCTGTCAGAAAAATAAAAGGCTGGAATTACAAGTGAGAGTTTCAAAGTTTGGAGGAATACTATCCGATCAGTATATACCTGGTTGATCGTCGATGTTGATGTCTCCCGCGCTCCGAAAAGTTCTGAATTGTTGCCTGAAGACAAAGGAAGACCAATTGATATTCATTATTTTATGTTGCTTCTTATGTTTGTTCTGTGAGGTGTTTGTTGTCCAAACAAAAATCTTTTGCGAAAGTGTTTGTTATACAATTTGTTCATTAACCGATCACCCACTGTACTTTATATTACAAAATTAAACATTATAGATTACTGGAAAATCTATCATTTGCCTAGAGTTTTTTTAGTTGTAAATTAAAGATAATAGCATTTTATAAATTGGATAATATAATATTGATACTGTTATATAATATGCTAAATAATGTTGAAAATGATTGACTATAATGATCCACTTAAGTTTAAAAACTAATTTGGAGAAGAAGAATTTTTTATTTTTTAGAAAATAGGGAGGATGTGAAAATAATCAGATGGGTGACTAAATCATATATCTTTTATTGAAGTCTCTATTATGATTTTATAAGCTAATGCAGAAGAACTCTGTTAAGTTTTTCAATAAATCAATTTTAAAAACTTCTTAAGCAGAAATGAAAATATAGCTTTTCTTTCAATAATCCATATTTATTTAACAATGTTCTGCTACATTACAGTAAATTAGACTTACATAATATCTATCTATTTGTCTAACGTAGCCTGTTTCATCTGTTATATTTTGTAAAAAAAAGTATGTTTGATTCCCATGAACAAAATCACAGATTTACAAATACTGTACTAAAATTTGTTGAATATATACAATGTCAACTACAAATTGATAACATTTTCCAGAATTTTCTGTTTGTTACAAGCATTGTTGCCAGATAACTGTGTAAGAATACTATAAAAAGAATGTTCAAAGCAGCCAAAATTGCATAAAAGGAGAGACATATCTTGTGCGTTTCCTAATGTAATTTTTTTCATATGCAATTAAATGTAAAAAATTTTTAATAGGCTGCAGTTAACAATTTATTAAGTGAGTCCATTTTCTGAACAAACACAAGGATATCAATCTACTTAACTGGGAAATTTTCTTAACCCGGCGTGAATGAGGTGAGAAATTGTCACACCAGCTATGAGGTGGGTAGGAGATATCCGAAACTTCGATGCAGAATTTTTTTTATACTATAATTGTGTAAAAAGTATTTTTTCACTTGGGATAATAAAAATAGTATCTATTCAACAAGATGAGTAAATAAAATATTATGTTTAAGATTGAAAAGCATTTTTTTAATTGAAATAACAAATTGTGTATATTTTCTTTGAAAAACTACAAGTTTTAGTAGTTTAACATTTTTTCGTATAAAATTCTAACAAAATTACAACTTCTTTGGTTAATCAACATAACTATAGTATCTTTCAATTATAAAAATAGAAAAAAAACTAAAAGGTCTTATGAGATCAATTTGCACAGCACCAACATTACACCTACAAATCAACACAATCTCCACACACAAAAATCGCATGCTTCATACATATTGGCTTCTCACACTTCGAACAGCAATGTTTTGTTTTTCTATCTGTTTTTTTAGTAGTCACCGCACCTGACATATTTACTACCCACTTTTTTGGAAACAGGTAATGAAGGTTCTCCCAGATGATCAGTAATCACTTTCGAGTTTCCCTTGGATAATGCATTGTTTTTTGTCTAATGCGAAGACTATCATTTGAGAAATCTAGAAATAAATCTAAAAATACTATAAATAACTATAACTCATAAACTTACTGTCAACTCAAAAATGTAACACCGACTATGAGGTCAGGTGTGACGTACCCCAGTCATCTTTGCTCGCGTGTATCTCCCACTGACGCAGGTGCAACACTAAACTCAACACTGCACCTCGTCTCCTACTCCCTTATCTCCAGCACTGTGACGACGGGATTTCCATGACAAAAATAACATTAAATAATCTGCATTTAAAATCTTGGGTATGACATACCCCGCCTCACTCACGCCGGGTTAAATAGCGTGAGAGTAAAGCGTCGATTATCCGAAAGTCAATCATCCGAAAGAATTCCAGTCGGCAAATTTAAATTTTCGCCAGTGCTGTGGTGCTGCAATCTTTGGCTATGTCTTGGGCTACTCAAATATTTTACGTTTTTGATACTAAATTAACTTCTGAAGTATAATTTTTTATTGTTTTTATATTTTTCAATATATTTATTTTGTTCGTACAAAATAAAAAAATAATTTTTAACGATACAATAGTCTTTGTTAGGCTTAACATTGACGAAAATTTAACGTGAAGCGACGCTCAACAGAGAAAAATGTCAAGATGGGATAAATTAATATATTTTTTCGTACATAATCGGTTATCCGAAACATCGATCTTCCGAACAACCCCAGTCCCCAATTGATTTGGATAATCGACACTCTATTGTATATCATATGGGAAAAATTTATATATATGTTATAGTGAAAAATTGAGACCTTTGAAATTAAACTTCTAATGTCAGACCTTAATTGAATTCTACTGTACTTCTGTCTACTATTTACCATATTTTCTTAATTCTGAAATGCACAACAAGTTTAATGTTGAATTTTAAAATATTTTGGAGGAAAAAGTTTTTAAATACAGTAGAACCCCTCTAGTCTGCCCTCAGCTAGTCCGTCACTCCGGTTAATTTGACCGTGGTCGGAGTCGAGAAACTTGTCCCGACTCGTCAGTGACTCACCGTCTGTGGCGTTCTTGTGTTTGTTACAGTATATGTTTTACATTGTGTGTATGTGTACAGTTTTGTGTGTGTTTCCAACATGTCAGGAGTGAAATGTAAACACGTTACTCTTTCATTAAATGAAAAATTAGCAGTGCTACAAAGACTGGACAAAGGGAAGATTGTTTATTTTACTTTTTTCTGATAATCCGACCTTTTTTGCGTTCTGATCATACCCCCAGTCCCAAAGGTGACGGATTAGAGGGGTTCTACTGTAATCAGTTTTATTAAGTAACAACAAGTTAGAAAAACAATATAAATGCTGTAAAACAGATAATATTTGGCAAATTTACATCTGGTCTCTTCTGCATATACAATAACTGTTTATTTTAATGCTGCATTATGATGTCATTTGAAGGCATTTTAGATATGAGCAATTATTTATTGTGATATTGTCACAATTCCAGGCTGCAATTTTTAACCATATTTTTAATTTATTTGATTTGATTTAAAATATATGCTCTCTGTCAAACCAGAAGTGTCTTGCTCCTGTACACCATACTTTTCCTGTTAGTAATAGTCATGCCAGTCATCTATCTAACTCCTTTTGGAGGAAAATTTTTTAATTGAAATAATGTAACTTCTTGTTTGTACTGGAAATTTATATAAAATTAATCAGGGCCTCCTGCCCCTAAGCTTTTCATATCTAGTCTTGATTTCCATCTATCTAACACTGTTCTCAAGATTATGGAAGGACAGACAGATTGACAACAGTGGAAATTTATAGGTCTATAAGTTTTCAAATTGCAGTCCAAAAAGTAGTTTAAGTTAACTACTCATATTGGCAAAGCTCATCTAAAATAATGGAATCATTGAGTAATAATGTTATTGGTGCATAATACATCTCAGTTTGTTCATGACTGTTGTTTTGGACTGAAAATGTAAGAACCTATTGTTTCTAAGATGCACCTATACTTTGGATAAGTAAAAAGTAGGTTAAAAAAATGCATTTTAGAAATTTTGAAAGAACATAATATTGTGAACTTGACTAGTGATATGACACCTTAAATCATATATCAATTTATTATTGTAGTCAAATGTTCCTTTAACATTCTGGAAATAATTTTGTTAATTTGCTTTTAATTTTAAATTACTTTTTATCTTGTGTTATTGTTACTATAAACTTACCTACATTTAAATGTAATTTTCTATTTTAGAATTGTCACTGTATTCACACTAATAATTTTATTCAATTTCAATGCCTCCTTCCTGGTTACAACTTTTTGTCAGTGAATTGAATTATTCATTTTTAGTAAATGTTAGTCTTTATTAGTCTTAATTTTTATTATTTATAATAACAACTTTGTAGTATGATTTAAAATGAGATATCATTTTTCCATTTTTCAATATTTTATTCACTATATTGTAAAGATGTGTATCTTTACATATTCACTGATAATTAATTAGAAAAGCTTATGTAATCATAAATTGATTTTTAAACTTTTTTTAATTAAATAAATTTATTTTTTAAATTTTTAGAATTTCAATAAATCGAGTATTAAGAAAGTATCTATATTGTTTAATTTAAATCTGTATATTGTTTGTCTTTAAATTATTTTTTTCTATTTTAGATACCTAATCTAAGAGCTTATGAAACATACTGTTCAAATATGAACAGAGCAAAAGATGCATTAGATGAGAAAAAAATGAATGACAAAAGATTCAGAGATTTTTTGCAAAGATGTTTGGAGTCACCATTTAGTAGAAAACTGGATTTGTGGAATTATTTAGGTAAGACATTATATTTAAATGAATTTATCAATTAAAGAACCGATGCATTTAAAAATTTTTCTTAAAAAGAATTAACTTTAAATTTGCTTCAATATCCCTATACAGTAAATCTTTAAACACGTAATTATTTCTAGAAAACTTATTAAGCAAGCTATTCTATTTTCTATAAGCTCAATGTCATAAATTGTGATTACACAATACCATATATAATTTCAAATGATAAATCGTAAGTGAAGAAAAAGTAGAGCATTTGATGGCGTCAATAGAAAATTTATACCAGTTACTTAGTATTAATTTGTTATTAAATAAGTAATTAGCAATAAATACTTTATTTTAAATATTAAGTATTAAAATTAGTGAAAATTTATAAAAGTGCTATACTAATATTCAGATGTATGAAATTTATTAACTAGCTTACCCGTCGCGCATTGCTGCAAACTCAGAAGAAAGGAAATTCAAGTAAACTCGATATGATAAAATTCAATTTACATTTTATTATTTTTATTGAAACTTATTATTATTATTCATTTTCATCGGGAAAACATTTCAAAGTGTCGTTTCAATTCTATTTATTTATTGGAGTGTTTGTAGATACATGATATTTTTTGTTTTTCCGTCTGGTGCGTACACGAATAAATCGGAAGGTTTTTCGACGCGTGAGTTGGCCACATACAGTTGTCCAAGCGAGAAGCATGGATTCTTTAAATTTAGCCCACATACTCGCAGAGATTGTTAGAAGTGCAATATTCCCCATTTTTATATATTTTTTTTAATCCTTCATAATTTTGATTATTTAATTGCTCCTTCCTCTCTTCCTTGGCGTGTTGTGAAATTTCTGATAGTTGGATAATAAACTGTTTTATTGTAATTTGTCTTTTTAAATTATTTTGAGTTGATATTAAAATTTGGAATAGGGGGATCCCTAGATCGGTAAAATAGGCGAATTTCCTTCTACAACTTCGGTTGTTTTTCATGATACAGTTAAGGCTTTAACAAAGTTCGAGCGATTACGTAATTAGCAAAAAAAAAGAGTTGAAATAAAGTGATTAAACAAAAATTATAACAAATATCGTAAATAATAAATGCATATATAGAGAGATTTTTTGGAGGGGGAAATGGTCTTCACAATTTGAAATCGATCGAACACACTGTGCTCGAATGCTCGTGTAAACGTGCGCCATCTATTGTAGGATAAATGCCAGAAACCTTCGCAGGAGTGTATTAAAAAAAAACTTCCCAAAGCTTCATGGCAATCGGATAAATGGTGTGGTAATACATGAAGGACACACAGACACACATACATTCATTTTTATATATATAGATTATGTGAACATTGATTAAATTTGTGAATTAAGGAAATATAAATAATAGTTTAAAATTGAAATATTTGTTCTATTCTAGTAAGACAAATGGATTTTAGTAGTATTCATGAAGTTATTTGACCAGCATTTTTCTTTTGTTGTTGTTTTTGTGTGTTTTTCAAACAATCTATATAAAGTGATACCTTGGTTTTCATCAATAATCCGTCCTGAAACAATTGGTGAAATCCAAAACCGACGATAACTAAGGCAATTATTTCCATATGAATCAATGTAAATCCAATTACTTTGTTCTAGACACTCCAAAATATTTTATAACAAAAACCCATTTTATAGAGAATAAATATAATATTTAATACTAAAAACAATAAGAAATTAATATGAAATGAAAATAAAAGATTAATATGATGGCCTCCGAAACAGAATCACCATCTAACTGTTTTTGATTGATTCAAATTAATAATAACTGTTTGACATCTTCAATTGTTTGTGATCTTTGTTTCGTTAGCACATTCATGCCTTTCACTACATTAACCTCTTTTATTGCTTCCGTTTTTGCCACAATGGAACTTATCGTGGATGGCACCTTCCCACACATGTAGCCAATTTCAGCAATCGTAAATCTGCTCTCGTATTTTTCAATGATTTCCTTCAACTTAATCATGTTCCTGGCCTTCTTCAAAGGATACTTTCTTTGGTCTCATGATGGAGCAAAAGGGAAAGGAAAGTAATGGAATTGTTTGGCTAGATGCATGTGGTAAATCTCACACAATGAGAAACGACACCACAATGAGCAGGAAAACACATGGCCACCCTTTGTTTTCACAAAATTAGCAGCGACATTATGTGGGCACGCCATCAAAATCTGAGGCAACTGGCAAAAACAGACAAATTTTTCATGGAAAAAATTGACGAAATCCAAAACCAAAGTCAATGAAAACTGAGGTATTACTGTTTTACTTGCCTTTCAGATAAATGTGTTTTTTATTGTATATTTTCCAGTAATAATTTTGACTATAATAATTTCTCCAAATTTATATGATACTAGCTGCAAGGACCCGCTTCGCTGGGTTTTTATTTGTATGTTACTTTGTAATATAGTTTTTTTTTATATATATAAAAGACTTTTTCTAAGTAATCTAGAATCTAGCTGCAAGGACCCACTTTGCTGGGCAAAAAAGTAACGATAGTGAAGATTAAGATAATTACATTATAGCTAATCTTACCCGTTTTCACAGAATGCAAGAATTAGGTCACCCGTTTCCAGACTAATTAGAGAATTTTTACGTTTAGTTAAACAAACTATTTTCAACGTTTCTGGAACGTTTACAATCGTTCTATAATCGAACCAATTTGAATTTTATGTTCGAATTTAATTCGAACAAATTCGAAAAAATCGAACAAAACATTCGAAATAGAAAGCCACTTTCAACCACTTTCAGCCTCATATCTCCCGCACCCTTATAGCTATCGAGACGCAACCACCCCTATGCACGAATGGAGACTTGGGGCTACCACCACATACAAACACCATTCACGTGCGATGTGTAGTTTTGGTGAAAAAGTGAAATATAGGGACATATATATATATATATATAGATAAACAACTTGTATTCCTAACATAAGTGTGTTTCTTTTATTTAGTTATTTCATAGCTTAAAATCAGAAGTTTTATTATTCTTTAAAATTGATATAAATCATGATTTTTGTTTTTGTTTCTAGATATTCCTAGAAACAGACTAGTAAAATATCCTTTGTTACTGCAAAGAATATTAAAACATGTAAGCATTTTAAATTGTTTATTTTTATAGAATTAATTAAATAAATTTTTAATAATTCCACACTTTTTACTAGTAAAATGTTTATATAATTATAACATATATAATTTTAAATCAATAAAATAAAATTTTTTAGTCACCAGAAGATAATATAGACAAGTTATTATTACCGAAAGCAGTAAGTATCACTTTATTCTGATATATAAAGATTAAGTTTAATAACAACTTTTGTTTAGACAAACATGTAAACAATTATTTAATCAATTTTAAAAAAATTAGATTTCTGAAGTTGAAAAAATTATACAATCAGTAGATCAGTGTACTGGACAAGCAGATTGTCAATTTGTTTTGGAAAAATTATATTTTGTACACACTCAGCAGGTAAATATTACAAATATATTTTGTTAATTCTGTTTGTTCTGAACATAAAGATATATTTTTAAACTTATGTAATGTATAAATAAACTTAAAATTATAAATGTGTGTTTATTAAATTATATTATCTAAACAGAAAAACAGTTTTCTAGAAGAATCTTCATCAGTTTTATGTTCTGGTGTTCTCAGAAATAATCGAGGGACTGTAAGTTAAATTTGGTCTAAAGTAGCAATATTTACCAATACTTTATTTAAGTACAATTAAGGATTATTTATTTTTACTAATGGATTTAATATAGATTTTATTATATTGTAATAAATCACTGTATCTTCAACTTTACTTACTGTAATACATCAAAAAAAAACCTTTAAAATGCAGCTTGTTTTGCTAAAATGAACACAAGGAGAAGAGAAAAGAGGAGGAGTTTGCTGTAATGGACTACAGGGCACCGTTAACCAGCATATACAAGAGAATAGGAATAGTGAATAATAAGGAAATAGCCTGTAAGAGGAACCCTACAATATTTCAGTTATTAAGAAATGACAAAGATCCATAGACAAAAAGTGGTTCCATGGGTTTACAAAATACTGTTACAGAATAGAAGGTGCCAAAAGAACTGTATTATATAGAGGCCACAAAATGGTCGCTTACTGAAAGGTTGAAAGTGCACAAAAGGAATATTAGATATGAGCAACCAGTCGTGGTGTTAGCAAATTACGTGATCGCAGAACCAACGGAGGTTTCAGTTAATTGGGATAAAGCAGAACTTATACAAAAGGTTGCAAGCAGACAGCGTCTAAAGTATACAGAAACATGGCATATTAATAAATACAATGAAAAAGGGCAATCTATAAATTTTCGTGAATCCTGTAAACTAGCATCAGCATGGAAAGAGGCAGCTTTGCAAGTTTAAAAGAGCAAACTGGTCTTGTGCATTCGAATCTACAATAGTTTGTTTTTTAAAAAAATCATTCTAGAATTTCTGTCTGGCAAAAGAAGTTTCAGTTTGAAATTAACTTTTTTGTTCAAACCTGAAGAAGGTCAGTGAAGTTGACCAAAAACGTTTGGTATTTTAGCAAAACAAGCTGCATTTTAAAGGTTTTTTGGAGCATTTTTGATGTATTGTAATAAATTATTAAAAACACAATAAAATTGTGCATATAAGATTTAAATAACAAAATTATCAATTCTTATAGTTTTAATTGATCTTTATAGAAGTAAACTTTTAATTTATAGATTAAATCAAAATTTAATCTGTAAATTAAAAGTTTAAAAATATTTTAAAAAGTTAAAAAATATTAAAAATATGTAACTTTGTTAATAAAAATTAAATTATTAGTGAGCCATACTTTTAGTTTGTGAGAATAAACTACCACAACAGATTTCTCAAGTACAGTTATACCTCGAGTTACGTCATTCTCGATTATATGTCGTTTGTCAAAAAAATATATGAAAAAATAAAAATCAAATTTAAGTCATTTTATTTGATTTACGTCTGTCCGCCACAAATATTGAAGTTGTAATATGACTAGAAAAGCATTAAAAGCACATAAAATCGTATTAAAATATGTACATTCACAGTAAATGTTAATATAATCATCATAAATCCTAGAGAACAAAACATGAAAACATCTGTGTTTCTGTGTTTTCGTCTTATTTTGTGGTCTTTAAGTGCTCAATATTGGCGTTTTCCATGGTAGTTCCAATATCGACTGTTTGGTGTCATTGTCAGTGCCACTCAATATTGGTAAATTTAATATAAATTAGTTTATTTTCTACTGTCGCAAGATAATTTTAATAACTGTATTTGTTATTTAACCTTACAAAATCGTCTTATAATGTCTTAGAGCAAACCACATTCACAAATAAAGAGTTTGCAATGTACTGTAAACATCGCCAAATTGTAAACATTTACAAGTATGTACTGTACATGAATTTGTAAATTTAGATTACTTTTTTCTGTACTATATTAAAAACTAAAATTTATTTGTTTGTAAGCTTAAAATAATTCTTATTAACAATATATTATTAAAAATGCATTTATAAATAAAATACAGAACTGGGAATGGTTATTTGTGGTTTAGCCTAGTGACAAGTAAATTCGACTTTGTCGCCTCTCCTGGAACCAATTACTGACGTAAGGCGAGGTATACCTGTAAAGTAAAACTACTAAAAATATTTTCAATGTGATTATAACCAGTCTTCAGGACATACATTCAAAATAATTTTAGCCAAAGATAACTGATTACATTACAGTTGTCTGCAAAATCTGCTTATTTTACATGTGCTATAATTTCATATTTTTGAGTTTAAATATAATAGAATATATACCTGCAAGTGAATATACTACTATTCTTACATTGTGATTCATAAAAGAAAGTTTAAAATGATAACATATATTACAAAACGATCTGTTTCTGTTACCTTTTATCATTTAACTTCAATATGAGACAAACCGTTCATATTAAAAGTGTAACTAAAATAATACACATTTTTATTCTTAAAACTTGTATGTGTTAGCAGTATAATAAATGATGTAAAAATTGTATTTGATTAAATTCACTATTATCCAGACTAAAAAGAACTTAAAAGGGATATAACATATAAATCTTTTATATTAGTAATTTTTAATCCAAAATGGTTGGGTCGTCTATATTATCTTAGTTTTTTGTTATCCGAGATATTGTAACATCAGTCCTCATTATTTATTGATATAGCTGGGGTTCTACTGTATAAATACAATTTAATTTTCATATATCATTTTAGCAATAGGAAACAGCATTCAAGAGATACAATGTTCAAAATATTGAAAATAAATTTTGCAGTAAGGAATTCAAATTTAATGGTTTGCCATATTACAAATGTTATTGTTAAAATATAAAAAATTTGATTTGAGATAACAAAAAAACTCTGCCTATCTACTTGTTGTTATAATGACAATGATAATTAGAATTATTACAAAAATTACATTTCAGAATTTATCATTTGCATGATTCCAATAAATGGATACAAATGTCTGAATTTATAAAAGTTTTAGAAAATTACAAAAGTAGTTTATCTGTAACTTTTTGTTTTAAAGCAGAAGAAAAATTACTTTTAAATTTAATAAACACAGTTTTTCTTTTAAACAGAAATTGCATGCATTTTTATTTGACAATGGATTTTTATTATCTCATCAAACTACAAGACATAAAAATTTGAAATATAAAACAATGTATCAAGTTTATCAAAATCCAATTCCTAGACATCAGCTTGTAGTAACTGACATCAAAGATGGGAGTATAAAAATAGGAGGATCATTTCGCAATGCTTTTACTTCTAACACTAATCTGGGTATGTAAATAACATTATATTTAATTATGTATTTAATATTACATAAAATAAATACTTAAATTATTAATTTTTAATTTAAAACATCTTAAACTATGATCATCAGATAACAATATTGTAATATCTAGCTATTTATTATACTACTTATTGTATCTATTGGGTTGTTCGGAAAGTAATTTTGTTTTTTTACCACTAAACGGATTAGTCATATTTTATTATCATTATATATTTTGACAGCTAGAATTTTAAGGCTTATTTGTAAAAAATTTTTGTTTGATTTTATGCAATTGTTTATTTTTTGTGGCCCATCAAATATGGAAGATCAAAAGCAGCATTTTCGGCATATTTTGCTCTTTTATTACCAAAAAGGTAAGAATGCTGTTCAAGCGAGAAAACAATTGCATGATGTATATAGAGAAGATGTATTGATAGAACGACAGTGCCAAAACTGGTTTACAAAATTCTGTTCTGGCAATTTCAATATTGAAGATGCATCACATTCTGGATGGCCAGTTGAAGACAATGAAAACAAAATAAAGGTACTGATTGAAGCAAACTGCCGAATAACAAAACGTGAAATCACTAAGAGATTAAATTTGTGAAATTGAACTGTTTATGATTACTTGAAACAAATTGGTTTTGTTTCAAAGCTTGATATATGGGTTCCATATGCTCTTAGAGAGAGATGCTCTTTTTAAAAATCAATTTTCCAAAAAAAATATTTCCTCAAAAATTGATGAAACTTCATGGGTTAATTCTACAGAAATAACCACCATTTTTTTGCCTGGACCGCATTTAATCAGAGACAAAAGCTTACCTTCGTATTCTTTATTTACTTATTTACTATGCATTTCGGGTGCAATATTTTCATGTAACTTGCACCCCTCTTCAGGTTTTTTACATTTCTATAGATTGGTAAATTCAATTATTACATTTGTTGTTACGGTAAATTACAACAATAGTTATAACTATAACATTTGTTGTAATTTACCGTAATAACAAATGTTATAGTTATAACTATTGTTGTAATTTACTGTAACAACAAATGTAATACAGTAGAGCGTCGATTATCTGAATCAATTGGGGACTGGGGTTGTTCGGAAAACCAATGTTTCGGATAACCAATTATGTACGAAAAAATATATTAATTTATCCCATGTTGAAATTTTCCTCCATTTCGTGTTGCTTTGCATTGAATTTTCGTTGATGTTAAGCCTAACAAAGACTATTGTATCGTTAAAAATTATTTTTTTATTTTGTACGAACAAAATAAATATATTGAAAAATATAAAAACAATAAAAAATTATACTTCAGAAGTTAATTTAGTATCAAAAACGTAAAATATTTGAGTAGCCCAAGACATAGCCAAAGATTGCAGCGCCACAGCACTGGCGAAAATTTAAATTTGCCGACTGGAATTCTTTCGGATGATTGACTTTTGGATAATCGACGCTCTACTGTAATTGAATTTTCCAATCTATAGAAATGTAAAATACCTGAAGAGGGGTGCAAGTTGCACGAAAATATTGCACCTGAAATGCATAGTAAATAAAGAATACGAAGATAAGCTTTTGTCTCTGATTAAATGCGGTCCAGGCGAAAAAACAGTGGTTATTTCTGTAGAATTAACCCATGAAGTTTCATCAATTTTTGAGGAAATACTTTTTTGAAAAATTGATTTTTAAAAGGAATATAAAGAAAACTGCACCATTGATATATACATATCTATTACTTAGAGATGCTCTCTTTAGTGGAATTTTAAGAAAATTTTTTTTGGAGCTTTTACCATACAATTTAACAATTGATTCGAAAGTGTACTGCCATCGAGTAAACAAATTGAGTAATATCATCAAACAGAAAAGGCGGCCAGAATTGACCAACAAAACAAGTGTAGTGTTTTACCACGATAATGTCAGATTTCACACAAGTTAGTTTGGTAACTTGTCAGAAACTGTTATAACTTAGATGGGACGTGCTATCACACCAACCATATTCACCAGATCAAGCATACACAGATTATTACTTGTTGCGGTCTATACAAATTTTTTTTAACTGTAAGACATTACTTGAAATGACAATGTCAAAAATCACTTGGATCAGTTTTTTGTAAGCAACAATCAAAACTTTTATGAATGAAATCATACTACTACCAGAAACAATGACAACAGGTATTTGACCAAAATGGTTGATATATAATTCAATAAAATATTTATTTATTATAAAAATATTGTTTTTTTTTTACGGAAAAAAACAAAATTACTTTCCGAACAACCCAATAGTACTATTATTTATCTGTTTAATATTATGTTAGTAGTAAATATTTATTTTGAATTTCAACAATATTTGCATTATTTATAATGCAAATAAGTTTGTGTAAAAGCAACATTAATATGTTGTTGTAATTTTAAAAACTTAAATAACATTTAATAGAAAAAAATGATATACATAACATTTATCTTGAAATAGAAATTATTTTCAGTTTCATATTATAAAACAGTTAATCTGTTTTTGTTTACACATTTAACTTTAGAATTACATAATATATTGGTTCCATGAAAAATCAACAAAATTTGTAAATTAAGACTAACATTTATATGGTGAGTAGATTGGTTCTAAAGTTCCATTTGTTATTAAACAATATAAAATGTACAAAAATGAAATCTGACTGGGCTTTTCAAAATTTCAAAATATTGAAATTTCGAAAAGCCCAGTTCATGCATCATTTTTCTACTTAGTTACCAAGATGGGCCAAACATTTCTCCTATTATGGCATAAGTTTTTGGATACCATTCATAAAATGTATCTGGTTGTTTATGCAAAATTGAAATAGTGTCTTCCCATTGTTGTCACTTTAAATGTGATGACCTGTTAATTCCTTTTTGAGGAGGTCAATATGGTGACAATCACAAGATTCAGACTATGGCAAATGATGAAAACCAGCCCGATCTGGTCATCCTGGATGTTTGTCATTCCATTTCTAAACTTCTCATGCCATCAACTCTCACCTTGCCATAATAGACAATTGTTCCATACAATGCACTCATTTCTAAATAAATTTTGCTTGTATCCCTACCAAATGCTCACAAAAATCCAGTAACAATTCTGTGTTCCTCCAATGTGGAAATTGACAGACACCTGCTATTTTCAAATACCCATATTTTTCCTGTATCTTGCCGGACAGCATTGAAAACTGTTGAAGCAATGCAGAAGGAACTGCCTTCATATGTATATTTTGAAATTGTAACTATTTTTCATGAAAAAATGCAGTTGGCAAAGACTCTTATTTCCTCTTGTATAATTTATAAATTTTGAATGTTTAGAAATTACACCACACTACAGAAGGCCTCTATATTGAATACAGTCATATTGTTAGGAAATTCCTGAATACAGACACACAATGACACGTTTATTTAATTTTTGTCTTTTTTTGAAGTTACTATGCCTTGACTCTGGTCTGGTATAGTACGCAGCCATCAGTGTTCACCTAATGCCATAAACATAACGTAATGCCATAAATGGTTTATGGCAGGGGTGTCCAGGCCGCATGTGGCCCAATAAATGTGTAAACAAAACTGACAAATTTTTTTATTTTTATTTATTTCAATGGCATAAATTCAAAAAGAAGTTTTACAAAGCCGTAAACCTTTATACATATATAATTTTTGAGTGGAAAGGAAATATTTTCAAATACTTGGAAGTGTGTGAATGAGGAAGGAATACTAAATAAAGCTAAAGTTGAGACTCAAAGAATTATAGACACAAATTCAAGAAAAGGAGAGTAAGACCAAAAGATAAAAAGTAGTGAGAAAGGTTACATAGACTTTGTCAAGCAAATATGGACCTTTAATTTCCCAACCTTCCTCACTTCCTTATCTTTTGTCCTTTCTTTCCCTTCCCCGCATTTGGGTCTATAATCCTTTCAGTCCAGCTCTGGCTTTATTTAGTATTCCTTCTAGTGTTGCATGATTTGGCTACTTTGTGCCAAAGTTGGCTACCCTTTTTTTAGTTTGGCGTAAAAAAATATCATTTGACGCATTGGCTACTTTTTGGGCTACATCTTATTTATAAATATATTAGTTGAATAAAAATGCACTTTAAAATAGTGTTTTGTCATTTTTTATTCATTAGATACCCAAATAAAACAAATATTTGTGTTTTTCAAATAAATTTTTGTTTGTCTCCTTTATAATAAATTCATTTATCTATTTCTAAGTAAAAATTGGAAGTGTCTGTAGAAGTAATTTTTTAAAATATCTTTTTTCGTGATAAAGATTTAATACTTATTACTATAATCTAGACATGTTAATCCTTAAATATACAAGTATATTTAAGGATTGGGCCACAAGTATATTATATATACTTGTGATCCAAAACTCCATGACATCTTCCAATGTGGCCCAGAGAAACAAAAAGGTTGGACACCCCTGGTTTATGGCATTACGAAATTCTATTAAGAGTATCATATCATACGTTATTGAGGGGAATAACATTTTGGTGTGCCGTGTTGAGTCATAGGTGTGCCACAAGTAGAAAAAAGGTTGCAGAACACTGGTCTGCATCATGCCATGAACAAAACATATATTTTTTTTATATCTAAAAACTTATTTCTTTTCCTGGAACTTCTAAATCATCTCAGTATGGGAATTCAGATTGTGAAGAATGTCTTTTTGAGTAATACAAAACATCTTTTACTGATATAATTGATGTAAAAAGATAATTGTAAGAATGATGTTACGTTAATGGCCAGAGTATAGTAAGAGAGAGAGTTATTTCTATCCATGCGGGTGAAGCCGGGGGTAACAGCTAGTTAGATGTTTGCTATTTGTATGTAAATGTTGGCGGCCATATTGTATTTTAACAAAGTGAAGAATATGGATTATGAAAACATCAAATTTGCATTAGGAATGTGAAAATACCAAAAAGTGTAAGTAGCATATGTAATTAAAACATACATATGGTATATTACAGTAATTATCTTTTCAGCTGTAAAAAGCTCATTTTAATTGAACCTTATATGAATGTTCAGTTACAAAAGTGATTTGTTATCCACTTTAAACGATGGAAATGTTTTTGGCCACTTAGTGTATATGTTTACTAGGAATGTGAAACTTCCAAAAATCTATAAGTTAAACACTCAATTTTCAGAGCCCATATTTTGGAAATACAGTATAACCTCTGAATAGCAGACACTATCAGGACCAAGAAGTTGTCTGAAGTACAAAAACTATGTAGATGTATTTAAGAACTAGCAGACCCCGCCATGCCTTGTTGTGGCTCAAAATGTATCTATTATAAATGTATAACACTTCCCCAGTGGGGGAAAATTTTTCGAAAAATGTTTTCTTAGTGTACATTCTGTTGACGTATCCTATTAAAATGCAATCAAAAACGCAAAAACCCGCATCTAAAATAGTATAATAGAAGCCAAGTTTTTCAGAGTAAGCCTTAATCCTGTCTCTCTCCCCCGCGGGGGAATATCGAAAAATCCCTTCTTAGTGTACATTCTGTTGACGTACTCTATTAAAACGCAATCAAAAACGGAAAAAACTGCATCTAAAATGGTATAAATAGAAGCAGAGTTCTTTACGGTAACCTTTTCTGTAAGGCTTACCGTAAAAAACTGTCCATCCCCCATGTTTAACGGAATAATATATATAGGCTATGTCCACCCTGAAGTTCCATTCTAAATATTGGTGAAAGAATTTTTGAAATCGGATGAGTAGTTTCGGAGATTACCTGCTGCATACAAACTAACATACATACATACATACATACAAACATTACCTCTTTATAATATTAGTATAGATGATGATATGTTAATGGCCAGTCATCTATATATATATAAAATTACATGTCCTGACTGACTGATTCATCATCACCCAGAGCAAACCGCTGAACCTAGAGGTGAAATTTGGTACACAGTTAGGGTATGTCATGAATATGCACACTAGGTGTTTGCTATTTGGATGTAAGGGTGTGACTATGCAGACACGAATTTAGAGCAAGCGAGAGGTTGCGAGCGATTTAGTTTTCGCAAAGGAAAACCATGCACAAACAAGAAGCAAGAAATAACGCTGGTGAGAGTGAATTTCTGGTTCTCGCACATATCTGACTGGTTTTGATATTTATCGCGTCTCGTCTCTTCTCACCACATATTCTTGCTCACTCAGAAAATTCGCTCGCTCGCATCTGCATAGTCGCACCCTAAATGTCATTCTCTTATAAAACTAAACAAAATAAAGTAGAACAAACTGATAAGTGAAGTGAATTGTAGGATTTACCAAATATCTTAGTATTTTACAAAATACTAAGATATTTGGTAAATCATACAATTGTAAAATCAGTAATTGAAAAAATTGAAAAATGTTTTGTAAATTAACCAGTAATAATTATTTGATACATTCATTTTCACTTCACTTATCAGTTTGTTCTACTTTATTTTGTTTAGTTTTATAAGAGAATGACATTTAGGGTGCGACTATGCAGATGCGAGCGAGCGAATTTTCTGAGTGAGCAAGAATATGTGGTGAGAAGAGACGAGACGCGATAAATATCAAAACCAGTCAGATATGTGCGAGAACCAGAAATTCACTCTCACCAGCGTTATTTCTTGCTTCTTGTTTGTGCATGGTTTTCCTTTGCGAAAACTAAATCGCTCGCAACCTCTCGCTTGCTCTAAATTTTCTTGTGCATTCAAGATATACTTTCTTCTTGCAACATCTTAGTATTTTGTAAAATACTAAGATGTTGCAAGAAGAAAGTATATCTTGAATGCACAAGAAAAGTGTGTGGAATGTGAAAAATAATTATATTTGAAGCGGAGCTTCTATGTGAGGCTTACAGATTTGTGTTCATTCTGAAAATCTGTTTAATAGATTTTGATTAAACTTTGCCATTTTCCATTAATTGTGATACGGAATACAAAAATTGTATTCCGTATCACAATTATGGTCCATGGGGTCCATGACTTTTTTCTCAAGATGTAAGGTTGTTTCATGAGCACATGCAACAAAACAATATCGCATGAATTGCACAATATCACTTTGTCATGTGCATGTCTTGTATGGGTTTATAGAATACAGTTTGTTCTCAAAATTTAATGAGCTGATTTTGATAAAACTGCCATTTTCCATTAATTGAGACAAGGAATCCAGAAATGTAATGTAGGTCCATTTAAACATAAAAAATCCAGTAATGAATTGCTTAACTTTCCTGGCAACATTTAAAATTTTGGTGGCACTATCTGTTATGATATTTCATTAAAAAACTGTTTACGTTTTTAATTATTATAAAATGGCAAAAAACTTAATTTTGAGGGTAGGGATGGGTTTTCCAAAAATATTGTAAATGCTAATAACAAGTAAAATTGTCATAAAGTCTGACTCTACTTGAGATATTGCACACGACCACCCTTTATCAAAACCACACGTTTTCCTGCTCGGTGTGACATTTCTCATTGTGTGAGCATTACCCACACATCTAGCCAAACAATGGGCGTATTCAAAATCTCAGTGTGCAGCCAGCATTTCTGTTCAAAACTTCAGATGACTTCTGGTTGCTGCAAGCATCTTTTTCAGCACTTGATACACCAGCAAATAAGATGGCAGCCACCACAAGGCTCATAAGAGTTCTATTTTGCATTGACAATTTTGAATTTAATTTATTTGTTGATGAATAAACCCTGAATAAATTAATATTTGGTTAGTACGTTAATAGAATATTTTAATATACTAGTATATTTACATACGATATCACATAATTTTTTTTAGTTGTTAAAGTGTAATCTTAGGATTGATTTAATTATTTAAAACTCCTATGGAAACTTAAAAAATCTTTTTTGAAATTTTTATTTTTCATTAAGCTGTTATATTAAATTTATTTTTGAACTTATTTAAATGTAACATGGAAGTCCACATCACTATTTTTATTGTTTTTTTTCTCTCAATTCCCGGCAGTCAGTGTTTGTGTTCTCTAGAAAAGGCCAGCAGTTGTCATTTCTGGCAGCATCTTGCTGGATTGATGCTGAGATTTTGAATATGCCCAATTCCATTGTTTCCCTTTCCTTTTAGCTCCATCTTGGGAAATTTCATGTTGAATGTTCATTTATTTTTTAGTCTTTTACATTCATTTTATATTAATTTCTTATTGTTTTTATTATTAAGCACTGTATTTATTCTCTGTAAAATATGTTTTTAGTATGTATTTTGGAGTGTTTAGAACGAATTAATTGGATTTACATTGATTCATATGGAAATGCCTTGGATTTCGCCTACTGTTTTCGAACAGATTATTGACAAAAACCAAGGTATCACTGTATTTTTCCTCTGTTATGTATAACAGATCCAGGAAAGTAAAAATAGGAGTCCACGACTTTGTTTTCGATATACGAAGGTATTACACTGATGACAGTCCTTGCTCTGATGCAACAAGTGCGCCTAACGGAAAATAAATGCAAAAAATGAACAAAGCAATCAATGGCAATTGCTTTGTTCTTGGATCATTTCTCTGTACCTGGCTAGTGCAAGGATCATGCCTCCCATGGCCTGCAGGTGTGAGGATATCCTTTTTTTATGGCAGCAAGTGCAAAGTTCATCGTCTGTGTCCATCGGGTACGGTACAAGAATTGCCTCTTCTGTGCCTCTAATAGATGCAGAGATTGCTTCTTTCAGCTCTGTTTCAGTTCTATTGCAATATGACAGTCACGCAATGTCCTAGTATGTTGTACTTATGTTACAGTAACTATCTTGTCAAAAATTAACTTGATCAATGTTCAGTTATAATATCTTCTAATTTCCAAAATAGACATTAAATGTTATTTGACTTTTCATTTGGAATTATAATTTATAGATTAATTTTTTTGTAAACACAAAACATCATTAATAAAAAATTTTCTAATAACTTTTTACTTTTCAAATTTATTTTATAATGCTTAAAACATCAATTTAAACCTGTCAAAAAAAATTATGTACAGGTAACCCCCGTATAACACGGTAGTTACGTTCCAAAAAATTGCCGTGTTATGCGAATCCGTGTTATACGAAACAAAGAACTAACACGAAAAGGAGGGTTAGGTTCCAAAAATTAAAAAACATGCTACTATATTTTCATAATTAAGATAAATATCTTCATTAAAATTTTTTTAAGTGATACATATTAATATAAATTAAACAATGTTTTCTTCGTCATCACTAAAAACACTATTAATTAACCGAGAGCGTTTTCTTTTTGGCAAGTTATCCTTATCCTCTGAGCATTTTTCTGCATTATCTTCAGATCCATGCTTTACCTTTTGCAAAATGTATGTAATTTTAGATTGCTTGCTTCTAGTTAAAAGGTCTTTATAAATTTCCTTATATGGTGCTAAGCACTTATGAAGAATAAAGCAAGTATGGAATAAGGGAAAAACATTCGGCAACATCAGAAGCAGAAGCGTCGCGATCTGGCAACATTGAAACAAGTTTCGAGAAGGACCACGTGTATCGACAGAAGGCGAGAAGAGAAAATTTACATACTTAAGTACTAATAGTTCACGAAAATAATAATTTTCGTGAACTATTATTACTTAAGTATGTAAAAATTTATTACATTTCCTGTTGTACGAGGGTTTTACCCAATTCTCGAACCGTGTCAGAGTGAATCCGTGCTATAAAAGTACCGTGTTATACGGGGGATGGTACCAATTCTCGAACCGTGTTAGAGCGAATCCGTGCTATAGAAGTGCCGTGTTATACGGGGGTTACATGTATATACAATGTTCCTTATTAATTAAATGATAAGTGGTCTATGAAACTGTACAACAGTGTAAATGTAACATATAGCAGGACTGAGGGTGCTGAGATAAAAGGTTGCTCTTATCTCAGTATACTTTTAGTCTCTGTCCTGCTGATACTGATTTTTAAAAAAAATTACACTATATGTACAGCATACCATTCTATATCTTAAAATTAATACTTGAAACAGAATTTCATGGTTATGTGTGTGTTACTTTTTTAAATTTAAATGCATTTTTTAGACTATAGACCAAATTACATTTAGTTTAAAATAAAAGTACATGATTAGACATTTTATGCTAACATTTATAGAATTATTTTGATATTTCTAAAAAAAATCTGGAAATTAAATTTTTTATTTGTTTTTTTAATCTGATTGATATCACTACTATTTTGTATTTTTAAATATACATATTTCATACTTCTCAGGACAAAATTTCAAAGTCACTAATTTATTTTAATTATTTCAAATTATATAATATTTTCCAGCAAAGAATGCATTTTCAGTATCTTCTGTTGATGAATCACACAGTTCTTATACTTTAAGAGCCGACAGCGAGCATAGTAAAAAACAATGGTTAAAAAAATTATCATCAGTGGCTATTAAGTTTACGGATAACAGAAAGGATGACGACGAGGGAGGATTTCTGAGTAGACCGGTATTGAAGCAACGCAACGAATCAAAGATGTCTCTCAATGCCACAGAGTTTTCTCTCCCCTGTAATGACACAAACCACAGAGTTAAAACAAGATCCCTTGTTAACCTCAGATTAAATAACACTGTGATGTAACTATATTGTTATAAAATGAATGTAAATAAAGTATGTAAACAGAATTAAACTGTATATACTTGGAGGAGAACATTTTTATAGCAGCTTTTGATTTTTGATTTGCCATTAATTGTGTAAATCAGTAAAGCAATAACTTTACTGATTTACACAATATATATCAACAGTCTGAGTATATATCAAGTATATCTGTTATTGCATATATTAATTGCAATATAAATATAAATCTGGTATATATTTATTTCTTCTAAGATTTTTATTTTAAATTAAATCTTTACAAACTAATGTAAGAATTGGCTTTAATCTTTATCAGTATTATTTGTATTAACAAAAATAAATATTTTTAATAATTCCTGAAGCATTTAATTGGATTGTGTAAACATTTACATAATTATAAAATTCATTTTTAAAGTTATGATTTTCATTGATGTATATTTATACCGAAAGATTTTAACATTTTCAAATTTTATAGTTGTTTGCATTACAGGGAATTATACAAACTTCTTTTCTGGTGTTAAAGAAGTTTGCAGTAAAGTTTCTTTGAATACTTTGAACTTTTAATTTTTGTTTTGGAAAGAAACAAAATTAGAATAAAAGTATCCTTCATTTAATATGAAAATGTTTAGTGTAAATTTGTTATAACACAGATGATATGGTCCTGATCAGCATTTTCTCAGCAGAGACGTGAATAATCTCTAGCAATAGACATGGCGATTACTTTTTGTTTTAGGACAAATTGTATGACTAGCTAAAGAAGCTATGTATGACAATAACAGTATGCCAATTAAACAAGAAATACTTTTTCCTCGTAAATGAAACAATTTTAATGAAAAGGAGAAAAAAAAATGCTAAGGACAATTTTATTGCTGGAGTTTTACTAAGGCAAGTTGTACTGAAAACGTTTTTGACCTGTTTAATGATTGATATGGCAATGGTGGAAAAAATAAGTACTTTTAAACATGTATACTTTTGAGTTATAAATTTATTGTGAATTTGAAAAAATAGTATTTGTCTGAATATAAATAGACTCTCAATTTTGGAATCCTTACTTTTCGAAAAAACTCGAATGTAAGTTGATCTTTTATTATTAATTTTATCTGTATATATTAAAAATTTTTTAGCAATTTGCATTAAAAAATTTAATCATGGAAACATTACTTCGTTTGGTCAGAACTTTCATTGTCATCCTGCTCTTCCTTTTTTGAACAGTGCATTATAAAGGGGTTGCCGAAATACTGTACAGTATAAGCAATCGAAAAATGCAAAAATGCCAAAAGAAAAAGTTCTCTTCACCTGGCACTGCAGACGCTCCCAGAGGAGAAAACTGGGTGTAGAAAGCTCGAATTTTAAACTTAAGTCTCTCTCGGTATCAGTGAGATGCTAGCTTAACTTCCGGGTCGATAGTCAAAGTTTACGGCGGTTTTAAGAGCTATTTTACTTTTGTGGCTTAATTTTCTACTTGTAAGAATAAAATTGCATGGATACGAATGATTTTTATTCAAAATATCCAGAACAAGCTCAAATTTATGCAAATTAAAATTTTTATAACAATTTTTATTAAAAACGTTCTGTCGCAAGCATCGCAAAATGCTTCAGGTAGAAAATTAAATTTGACTGTCGTCCAAATTATTTTCAAAGATAAGCTTGGAATTGCGAAGATTTTTGCCTAAATTAATGTTTTTACTTTTTGCTTCGAAGCGCAGAGTTTTGTTCTGAATCGACTCATCCGGGCCACCACGAAAAAGTTGTGGAGAGCTTCATTAGAATTCGATCCCGGCCTACCAGAGCGATAGGCTGATGCCGTTATTGCCTAGATCTGGGGGTCGCCAAAGTGGTCGATATCGACCCCCAGGGGTCGATGCGGCTAAGGGGTCACAACGTTTTTTTTTTTTTTGCTCATACACATACACTTGTGATAAAACTTTACAATGGGGTCAATGTGAGGCTTTGGAAAGTGGTTGGTGGTCGACGGTTAAAAAAGTTTGGCGACCCCTGGCCTAGATCAACCTGCCGTCAAATGGTTTGGTTTACTTGTTTACGGTAAACGCGACACGTGGGCGATCTGTCGAAAGGGGAGTTTCTAAGGAAATTTGGCCTCTAGGTGTTAGACAGTGATGGAAAGATAGTTGGGAGTCGGAATCGATTTTAAAAGAACGAGTCGAGAGTCGTGTCTTTCTCCGCCGACTTCTCATCCCTGATTATAAATGTAAAGAAAACCAGGAAAACTTCGCGTGGCCAGCCCGTTGGCGACGCACGAACACACGAGTGGATGAAACCACCAAACTACCAGCGTTTTATCCACTCGGCTACTGGTGGGTGTCGTCAAATAAACTTTTTTACTTTGAAAAATTGCCGAAAATTTATCCTATATTCTGATAAAATATTTTAACACAAAGACTCCGAAAAATATTTGGTTTAGAACAGGGCGACAGTTGCAGTGAAATAATTTTTTTGTTTAGAAAACATTTTGGCACAAAATTCAAACAATCTATACCATCTTATATGCTTCATATTTTTCAGTAATGACATTTTTGCTTTGAGATTTGACGCAAATTTCTGAATTTTTCAAAATCAAAAATTTCGATGTAGGAAAATTTAAAGATTTGGTCCATTATTAGGTAATTATTAATCACTGATACCTACTTTTGAGTCAATTTGCATCCCGTTATCTCTGTGGAACCAAATCACATCCACGAATGCTCCTCATCCTACTATGGTTTTTGTTGAAAATAGAGTAACTTATAAATGATCAGTTTTCTTTAGTTATATTAAATACTCTATTCGCTCTACTATATAATCAATAAAGTATAGCAACGGGTTGCATAACTTTCCCGGCTGTTAAAGTTATTTTTAAAATAATTATTAAAAATATACTGTAATTGTGTATGGCGCCATCTGTTATGAAATTCTAACATAGTTTGTCGAAGTCGATATCCAGCAATAATTACGGGTGTGTTTTTTCAAAGAGAACACAGAGCAAATTTTAAAGTTAAACGGGAGAAAAAAATTATTTTCAAACCGTGCTCATTTTTATATTGTAATATAAACTACATTATTATTTCTTAACAATATCAGTACTGTAAAGCCCAGTTTACACTAGGTGACAGAAGGTCGCTTTCACGATCGCTTCTGACGTATTGTCGCTCACGAGGTTTTAGACTACGCTATTTTACCAGAGCACTAACCGGAAACGGAACACCAATTGTATTTAGAAAATATATCTTCAGTTTGAAATGTTTTATAATTTTGCTTATATGAAAACAATTATTAAATTGGCAGTTGTCCAAAATTTTAACTCTGTCTCGATTTTTTTTCGTCCACCATGCTATACACAAATAAGTGGATAATGATACTAAATGAATGGAAATAAAATCGTAAACCACATGATCTAATGAACGTTCATTGGGTCAATTTCCGAACGACAAACGATAAGAGTTTAATTGGCTCGACCTTGTCGCTTACATTTGAACCGCGAAAATGCACGGTGTGAATCTAGCTTGTTTTATAAATCTCAATACTTAGCTTAACTTCTTGGGACTCTAATTACATTAATATCAAAAATTGCTAAACATAAAAAATACTTAAAACTGAAAAAACGAAAGAAATGCGTTAATTTTGAAGAAAGCTTCAAATTTTATTTTCCTTTGTCTCGCCTTTCTGTGAAATCTGACGCAGATGAGTCATTGTTTACACAGCTGGATGACCTTGAACACAGCTGGAGTTGGCTTTCCCGGAACATTCTCGGGAGGCGATGGGTTTATAGTAGGGTGAATACTAGCTGGCGGTATATTTTTAAATACAGTAATACCACGAACTTACGCGATAGGTGGGACCGAGCGATAACCGCGTAAGTCGGGGTATAATTTCGCAATTTGTGTAAAATCCAAGTCGGATGTATGTAAGCTAATAATGTTCTCGTTAATCTTATCTTGTCTTTTGATTCGTTCACGGTTACAAGAAATCACCACATAGAGTCTCTCAAGTCTCCGTAGATATAACAAACACAGAAATAAACACAAAATAAATTGAAGCTATGTGTCGATTCCGCGCTACACGTCCAAACATGTAAGCTGAACAATAGTGTGGGGGAGTGAGTAATCAAGAGTTGCGTAGCGCTCAAACAAAAGACGAATCGACGAGATTTGAAAATCGCGTAACTCCGGGTTCGCGTAAGTCGAGGTATTACTGTATTTTTTAAAAATTAAAGTTTTTATTGCGATTTCCGACCCCCCGACTTAATTAAACTTATATATAATAAAATCTATTAATTAAAAAAATTTAGAAACTATCGGAGGTCGTTTTTGACATCAGAAACTAGCTTTAAATAACTTTACCGAAGTAAAATCCGTGCGCTACAACTTTAGAACGATGAATGAAATTTGATATCAAACTCCAATTAAAAAGCAATTAAGTGTGAATCGTGCGTCATTAAAGGTAAATTAAAATCGCGATAAAATTTTTTCGCGCGGGAAAAATTTTGAAAAAATTTGGAGACTTAAAAAACATTCCAAAAATCCAAAAAAAAAATTTAGGGGGTCCAAACACCCGAGTTTTATGTAACTTGCCCGAGATATTTTAATTAAAATGACAAAAATTGGATTTTTGAGAACGATTTCAGTTTAATAAGTTAAACGAATAGCAACGAATATCTAGTTTTATTCTGTTATACAGTGTATTAATATAACAGAGGGAAAGTATGGCGATCGGTCAAAAATGACCCACAAGATTTTTACATTTTTTGGACTCGTGGCCTTGAAACAAAGAAATGCAAAAAATTCGGGTTTTTGGGTTTTTCCTGTACGTATGAATATTTGTGTTTATATGTGGAGGCATGATTTTGTTCACCCTGCTTGAAGCTTAATTAACTCCCGTGCTTTTTGTCGAAAATTTATGAAATTTTGTAAAGATTTATTAGGGAACTGATGCTATTAATTAATTTAAATTTTGCTTGTAAAGATCGCGGGGTTGGGGAGATAAAGGGAGTCGTGTCGTATTCAGTGGCAGATTAAGGGGTACGCCTGGGCGTAGGACGGCTTCCAGGGGCGGCAACCACCATGGAAGAAAATTTTTTGTTCTATCTTGACATTTTTTGTGTTTCAGTCTGCGTTTTTGTGAGCCTGTTTTTATTTTTCATCAATGCATTGTAATAATAAAAATTGTGACAGACCAAAATATCTTTATTACAAAAAATAAAACACTTACAAAAAGTATATAATTTTTTTTGAGTTAAAAAATTTTCTACGCGCTTTTCTAATTGCAAATTCATCGATCAAATCATAATTCATTTGTTGATTTAATTCTGATTCTATACATAACAAGGCTAATGAATTTAGTTGGTCTGTACTTTGGGTCGTTCGCAAATAATTTTTAATGCGTCGTAAGACGGAAAACGATCTTTCACCGGAATAGTTAGAAACCATCATACATAAAACCGCGCAATATAAATATTAGGATACAAAAAATGCGTTGTAAGCATCTTCAAAGCTAATGCGCGAAACGTTTAAAATATCACAAGCTTTAAAAAAAATCAAAGATGCAGGGCATACAGTTATTAGTGTTTAATTTGACTATTATACATTAAAAGTTTGTTGATGAATTCTTTACAAGCCAAACTTTTCCAAAATAAAAAATAATATTCATCTATATGAGAGTCTAAAAAGTTTTAGTGGCAAGTCTTGTTTTCAACATAAAAGTTTTTTGTATCGAAAATTACGAGTCCCCGTGATGCGGGATTAGGTTAACAGTTTAGGTTATGGGCTACCTGTTTAAGTAGCTTATTTTATAGGCTTCCCACACCAACAATTTTAGTCCAAAAATTTAATTTAAAAAAAACCGTCTCCTCCTATAAGGGCGGCAAGTGTGTAGACGTAGGGTGGCTGGGAGACAATCAGCCCCAGGTCATATTTCGAGTAGGGTCGGACTTAAATGACAATTTTACTCGTTATTAGCATTTAATTTTTTTTTTATTATAAAACTCATCACTACTCTAAAAATATATTTTATAATCATTTTGAAAACTTTTTGCCATTTTATTTAAAAAACTTTTTGTAATAGAGAGCAACTCTTTGCTGAATTTTTGTCAAGTAATCAGTTTTTTTTTGTAAACTAAAACCACCACAAAAAATTGGTGTCGCCATGTTGATTTCTTTAGTCACATTCTCCGCGAATAATGCGTAGTATTTTAGTATAGCCAACAAAATTCTAATACATACATATTAGCTTTTATAAATAAATTGTCTCGAAGAAATAATCGCATTTACTTCCTAATTTTCAAAATAAAAAAATTGAAATTCGAAATTATGAAAGATTGGTTTTCATGTCATTTGGAGCAATTTTTATAAAAGGTAACAACACAACTTGTGGCAATATTTTAAACTTTATAAAATCGTTGAAGGAATAATTAATAAGAAAAAAATAAGAATATCGTGATTGTCCTGTAATGATGGGACATACTAAAAAAAAAGAGAATCTTATTGCTACCTTTAGATTACAAACATGGAAAAATGACATGAAACTGGAAATTGAAAGAATAAAATTTGAATGGATCTTATTCAGGAAATTCAATTATATCATGAACAAAAATGGCATACCCTTAATTCTGAAAGGCATCCAACTAGTCATATTCTTATATATATACGGAAAAATAGAATCTGATGAAGCACTTAACTAACAAATTGATAAGAAAAATAAAGGAACGATCAATGATTGCATTCTTCTTTTAATGTTAATTCTTAGACAATAAAGATAAAATAATACAATTGATGAGCTAATATAGTACTGAATTGAAAAATAAGAGGGACAAACCAGATAGGAAAACAAAATTAGAAAATTTGCAAGAAATGAAAGAATGAGAAGTAGAAATTTTTTAGAAGACACAGGTTGATAATAAAATAATTGAATCACATTTTCAAATATTTCGATTATTTAAAAAAATCCTTCGATATGAAATTCATCCATTTTCATGAAATGAAATTTAATCGTTTTCAAACGACATTCAAACTCAATCATCTACATACAGACTTTGATTTAGAATTTGATATCCAGCAGTTTTCCACATAAAAAGCACAGTCTAAATAAGAATATCTTTAATAAATGATAACTACAATATAAGTACTATATACAATATTTTCATGCGCAAATGGTTTAACAAAATAAATGACATCAACTCTGAATTTTATTTTTAATATGAACAAGCAATTTTAAAATACAGTAAAATTAACCCATTTGCTTACCTGTAAATTATGAAGATAATTCTTCGATGATTGATCGTAAACACTTAAAATTAGACTAAACATAATGTGCACCGTATTATAATAAAGATTAGGAATTTAGTATTAATTGTCATTTTCTAATAACGTGAACGTAAATTGGCAAATTTATGTAGCATTTGATTTGAGTAAAATTAAAATGTGCTACAAATATTTTATACACTCAAAATTTCAGTTATTTACTTTATCATTAATACGTACTTTAAGTAGTAATAATGCAAAATGGCAAGCAGATGGGTTAAATAAGATAATCTTTTAAATGCATATTGTGAAAATCAAATTGCGGAAAAAAACACATACAAACAGAACAATTAGAAATATTTAGTATTCAGTACTGTGAATAAATAATTTCATAAATAAAACGAATCACTATATACGAAAACATATGAATTAAATAAAACGTATAAATCAGAAGACTATTACGAAGCTTTACGTCTATTCATACACAGTCGTAACATTACAACAATTACATTATTAAAAAGTTATTATCAAATATAGTTTCGATCCTTTCGTAGGTTTTCACAATTTACATTTAAAAGTTTATCAAACATATAAGTAATAAATATTAAACTCTCATTAAACAAAACTCAAGTAGAATGTTTTAAAGTTTTAGATTCAACGTTTGATATACCATCAAACTGTTTTCCACTCAACAGATGAAATAATAGTTTTTGTGTAAATGTTTTCATCAAGAATTTTTTTAAAGTTTATTACAAATGCAAACAACACTTTTTTTAAAAACTCCACACGTTTTTTTCTTGTAAAAACATTTAAGAAACTGCCAATATTTTCACTTATGTACACGGGGAAGACTACATAGTCAAAGACTAAAAGTTAAAAAATAAAAATCAAACTTGTATCGGTGATAAGTTTGAAGATTTATAACTAGGAAATGCTTCTACAGTCAATTCTAAGCGATCAACGTATTCTGTGTGACTATGACTTAAAAACGTACTGGGGTCCATTACAGAATGATACATCATCATATGATAATGTGCAGAATTCAATAACTGGTGATTTGTCTTGAATGAAGCATTATGACCACATCCATGACATCTGAATATGTAGGAAGACGTCTTTGGCTGCTGATTGTTTTCTATCTGTATATCTGGAAGAATCTCAATATCACTACTGTTTATTTCATTGGAAGAAATTTCCGATTCGCATTCTAAATTGGAAAGACCGTTTTCCTGAATTGGAAGTACCTTAGAAATATTTCTTTTTAAAGGCGATGTACAAGATTTAACATTTGAATATCTTAAGCTAGGCCAACATGGTGTGATGGTTATTTCGGATTTATTCTTTGTTTCAGTTTTATCTTCATTTGATGAATTTTTTTTCATTAAAATAGAATTATTGTTCTGGTTAAAATGAATATCTGTCACATCTTCAAAAAATGAATAATTAAAACTATTTGGAAAATATTTTTGAGGGGAGAGAATCTCTCTATCACCGTTACCATTATATGGTTTTCCCCAAAATTCAGTATTCTCTAAAATTTTAGGATTTCCTTCTAACAATTGGTTATTTGTAGCATAATCTAGATTCATATTCATATTACTATAACAAGAATTTGTGTCCGAAATACAAACGTTGTGAGAATTTAATCTTTTCTTTAAATCATGAAGCAATGAATTTTCCTCACTTGCATAATTACCGTTCACAACAGTTATATCTAAATTATTCTTAAATTTACTACAAGCATTAGAACAAGTAAGAATTCTTTTAAGCTTTCCATTTGCTTCAGACAAAATCTGTTTTGGAAATGAAGATGGAGCATCTTTTAGGAGACAGTTTTGTACTGAATTTGATGAATTATTTTGAATTTCCTTACATATTTGTTTATTCTCGTCAATATTTTGTTTTTGTCTCAATATATTGAATTTGTTAACTAAGGGAACCCATTCTGTTACTTTAGAATTATTTCTTATCCAACTCATTTTCTTCATTCTCAAGATATTAGGCGGTTTATCAATATTTAATAATGTTATATCCTTCTCCGTCATCCATATATTCGTATCTTTTATATACACATTATTTCCAATCCACACAAGTTTATCAATGATATTTTCAAGTAAAACAATTGGTTTTCGACTGCTGAGTGAAAATATTAACTTGGCATCACTAAAATCAATTTTTATCGTTTCACTTTCTTTACTTTCAGATTCGGATTCAGATTCAAATTTTTCTAAGTTAGAAACTTTGTCCGAATTTAAAACTAAATTTTTATAATTATCGTCTTCACAATTTTCTACACTTGATAGATCATCATCCGAATTTTTCATTTTAAACGGCTTCGTGTCTGGTATTTTAACTTTAGATAATCGAGGAACTAATATTTGAACTTTCTTGCAAAGTTTCTTCAATTTACGACTTTTTTCGTTAAGTCCTGAAAACAAATAATAAAGTAGTTAATATTTGCACTGAATACTATCTAATTTGTATATAATATTAATATTTATATGGAATGCTTATCATTTATAAGTAAAAACAGTAAATATAAATTCGTATGATTATAATTATTAAAATTTCATTTATATTGGTTTTTTTTTTAAATATTAACATACATAATTTACTAATCTTAAGCATATTGGAAAAATTATACGTAAAATTACAGAAAGAACTAATGATATCCAAAGATATTTTTACACTAAGTGTCGCATTAAGGATAGGAATACCCTGCCATGGAGGGAGATTCGGATGGCATACTCGCCCGTCTTCTTAAAGATTCAATTTCGCTGATCATTACCAACATTTTATTCAGGTACATTTATAGTCTTAAGCCTGACGATGCCAATATTAGATTGAAAACGTTATTAAAAATAAAAGAATTTATGCTCAGCAAAAATTAAGTGTTTGGTGAAATTGGTGTGATTTATTTGCTGAGAAAGCGGTGACTACTTAATTTTTGTACGCTTAGCAAGCATACGATTTCGCGATTTTTTTTAAATATTATTAATATGGTTAAAACTTATGAGGTGTGAATTATGAACTGAGTTACGAGTTATTTCCAAATTAGGAAAAGCAAATGTTTTGGAACAACGCACTCTGGCATTGTCAATTATTGTATGTCAGAAATGGTTAACAAAGCACATCAAAGAAAGGAAGTACTTCCAAAACAAATTCTTTCAAAGAACTTTTATACTTTTTTTGTTTAATGTATAATGTAATGTATTTTTAATTTTTATGTAATTATTATTTTTTTAATGTATATTTGTTAATTCTGGGAATAGATTGTTTACATTGTTTTATTGGTTTAATTTAAGATAGAAAAGTCCCGAAAGACAATTGCTATTTACTTATAAAAATAAATAAGGTATGTGACAAGTATAGATGTGTTTGTTAATTACAAAATCTTTATAAAATTTATTATTTAAATTTACCAGTTAGTAGATAAACAAAAAAAATTATTTATAAAGAAAACAAAAAATTTTGTATAAAGTCTATTATTGATCTCTTATTTTGTCACCTAGTTCCATGGTGCGCAAACTTTTTTCGACTGCGACCCCTTTTGTACAGAGAAAATTTTTGGCGACCCCTAAAGATAAATGTTCACAAATACGATGTATATTTCGCGCATTTCTTTCGTTTTATCGAATAAAAACATCATCATATCTGACTCATATTAATTTTATTTATAATTTTAAGAAAATACTTTTTATATAACATAAAAATCAGTAAATTTCCCTTTAATGAGATGTATGTGGCTGCAAGTTTCTAATTATCTCATCGATGTTTGGATGTATGTTGCTAATTGCAATTCGCATATCATCTTCAAGGTTTAAACGCGAGCGGTATTTAGTTTTTATTGAAACTAGTTTGCTAAATCCAGTTTCACATAAATACGTTGATGCAAATTGTATTAAAACCCTGATGGCATTCTTGCATAAAACGGGATATTGCTTTTCCACGGATAGCCAAAATTTTTGGCAAGGCTGAGTCTTAAATTGATTTCGAAGAGTATAATCACTAATTAAATCTATCAATTGCTCTTTCTCACTAATTTGAAGAGTTGAACTGCATATGTCGTAGGAAAATGGATCACGAATCCAACCAAGATCGTTTTCAGGAAAATCCTTGAATCTTCTGCATGAAATTGCAATTAAACAGTGAGTGACGGCGCTTCACTCTTTATATGTACACTGTATGGTATGCAGCATGCAGGCATAATGCATTTCATAAATATTTGGCGACCCCAAAAAACTTCTGGCGACCCCCAGTTTGCGCACCACTGACCTAGTTGACCATCGCCCAGTCAGCTGACGGTGCCATTTATTCTATATCTGTCACTAAAGAAATTGGGCTGGACCTCGGAAGTGTTCAAAATAGTCCTGTTCGCACTTTCATTCAATTTTGATTTGGAATGTTAAAAAGTAAATTGTTTATTTTTATTATTCTGATTTCATCTCAAAAACTGAAAGATTTTGAAAGTTATTAAATTATTTTTTACTTATAAATCAACATTTGTTCATAAATATTATTTATATTTTTACCATAACACTGATACCCTAAAACTGCTTTTCATACACCAAATTCATATTTTCGTACATTTACAGCTGACAATCGATCAATATTAAGCAGTCGGGATGCTTTCTTCCAATTTTAATTTGGTGAATAAAACTGTGTATGAAAATAAATTTTTAACTTTTTAAGTATCGTAATGCATATATTAAGCAGAGAAAACAGTAAAGTTTTGTGTGTAGTAACATAGTAGGTCAGATAAGGGCGTCAACATGGTTCTGGGGATCGGAGATTCAAATCCGCGTGAATCCCAGGAATTTTCATAGAAGTCTGAACCGGATAAATTGGGTCCCGTCCCTCACTTTCCAGTCGTCCCATCGTGAGCCACCTAGCTAAACCCATGATAAGCTTGGAAAAAAATCCCCTAGTGCTCAAAGGATGAGGAAATAAAAATGGAAAAAAAAAGTATAGCAACATTAGAACTTTGTTGCTGTTAAGAACAAATCATACAGGAACACTGAGTGGAAAAAGTAGGTTTATTGACACAAAAGAATATGCATTTCGGGCTTAACGCCCCTCTTCAGTCCTCTTATATCAAATACAGTGGTGCCTCGAATAACGGACGCTGCGAACAACGGACTTTCCGTTCGGCAGTTACGTGAGGCGAATAATGGACTTTCTGCGAACAAGTGCGAATGATGTTTCCACTCTTTTGCCGTTGCCAATGACAATCTGCTATTTTTATAATATATTAGTATTATTAGAATATATTATTAGTATTTCTGAAGTACAGAGCTCCCGTTGGATTCGGCTTGCTCCCTTGTATATATTACGTACATCACCTAGGTGCAGGGTATTTACATTTATTCGAGTGTTGTCCAAATCATGGCTTCTAAAAATACAGAAAGATGATTTCAATTGAAACAAAGCAAGAAATCATCAGAAGGAGTGAAAGTTGACAAAAACTTCCTTGTCAAATGGGGAGAGGTTCAGGAGTTTACCAACACTCATTATCCAAACAGAGCGGAGGCCAACAGGACCAATGATCTCTACAATGACACTCTCTTCTTCAACACCTGTCGGGTGTTGAAGAAGAGAGAGAAACAGACCACCTTGGATATGTTTTTCAAGAAGTCAGCTGCCAAAAAACAAAGAATGGAACAAGAGGAGTTGACCCTGCAAGCCCCGGTTAAAAAACTGACTCCGATTAAAAAACAATAAAAAGAGATCCGCTGCAATGTGTAAAAAGTCTGTATCTGTATGAATATGTGAAGAAAGTGTTCTTCCACCTCCTCACAACATCTGACTACCCGGCATAATTGGTGACTGCTCCATTTTCATTTTTTTATGGTACAGTACGGTTATTTTATGCTGCGGAACGAATTATGTTTTAACATGCATTTCTATGGTAAAATGCGTTTCGTATAACGGACTTTTCACTTAACGGAAGTGCACCTGGAACGGATTAAGTACGTTATACGAGGCACCACTGTATATCGGTTAAAAAATATATAAGATTTACAAAATGTGTTCAAATATATTTAGCACATGTGTACAAGTTTTCACAGTAAATATAATTACCTAAGATTATTATAGTGACCACTGGAATAATCAAATGCTATATAAAACATGGGTGGAATAAGTAAAATAGTACAGCTGAAAGAATTTTTGTTAAACCGTATAAAAACACGGGCTAGAATAATAAAAACAGAAATGTAAAATACACAGAATGAATCTGAACATTGGTGTTGTCATCAATGACATCTGGCAGCCATTACTAACTAAATAGAAGAGCCCATTTTAAGATGTACTTCCTTTCTCCCTCTCCCATCACATCCCACTGTCGTACAACACTACAGGCATTCTGATAACGATAGTGAATACTCTCACTTTACTTTTTAGACTGTCCTAGTTGGTTTATGTTTTTGTATTCAACTTTTTAATCAAACAACATTTCAAACATTTTATCGGAATTATATCGTACTTTATAGGTATTCCCTATTAATTTTACGTTTAATTCCTTAACTAATTACTTAATTTTTATATTTAATATATTTCTGTTTTTATTATTCTAGCCCGTGTTTTTATACGGTTTAACAAAAATTCTTTTAGCTGTACTATTTTACTTATTCCATCCATGTTTTATCTAGCAATTTGGTTATTCCAGCAATCACTATAATAATCTTAGGTAATTACATTTACTGTGAAAACTTTGTATGCGTGTGCTAAATACTGTATATATTAACACATTCTGTAAATCTTATATCAAATATATCGGTAAAAAATTATATAAGAGGACTGAAGAAGGGTATTAAGCCCGAAATGCATTTCCTTTTGTGTCAGTAAACCTACTTTTTCCACTCAAAGTGTTCCTGTACGATTTGTTCTCAACAGCAACCTTGTGCTAATTGCGAAAAAATGCATAGTAACATTCACTATTAAAACAAACTCTTCTACATTAATAAGCGAGTTTGTAATTTTTAGTTCTTTGGAAACTTGACTACATTATAATACAATCCAATTTCTTGACTTTTGGGATATTCGTCTTTGTGCACAGTTTAAGGAACGCATTAGGCCCTTAAGTCGTGAATCGTCTGTGTTATATTAAGCTTTTGTCGTCTTTTTAAACAATTAAAAGTTAGCTTAATACAGCGCTAACAATAACAATGCGAAATATACTTTAATATTTTATTTAGAAAACAGTTTTAACAGCTAAACCAGTGATTTCCGAAATGGGCAATGAGTAAATCTAGGAGAGGAAAAAAAAACAAAAGCAAACGGGAGGCAGGGGGAGGGCATGGTACTGGACGATGACGGCAGGGGGAGGGCATGGTACTGGACGATGACGGCAGGCGAGGGTTGGATCGCTGACACCTTTCCCTTTCCTCTGTTAAAACGGGCAAGGAACAGTGATTTTAATGGTTTCCAGATATGGAGAACAATGTATGGTGACACAAAGTGCAAGTTTCGTAGAAAGGTTTTTCTACGGTTTCCAAACCTTTCTCACACAAGGAAAAATGGGTTAGGAGACATTGGGTATAACTTTATGGAACTAAGGAGGGCGGTAGGCTCGAAGTTTGGTAATTACTGGGTTAAATGATATGACAACTAATATTCTCCAGATTTATTCAATATCATACAGAATAACGTTATAAAATCAATTACTGTAATTAAAGTTTGCAACAGATAAAATCTACTTAACGCGTATTTTTCCCGGCTCTGTTATATTAATATAGAATAGAGAAAATGACCCCTTCAAGATTTTTAATTTTTGGGCTCAGAGAACCTTGAATCGTCGAGGGAAAAAAATCGGAGGTTTTTCCACTTAAGTATAGATGTAGAGAGATAGTGCGTGTGCGGGGAACGATTTTGTTCACCCTCTTTGAAGCTTAATAACTTGTGCTTTATGTCAAAAATTTCTGACATTTTGCAGGGAGTTTTGTATATTAGGGAATTGATTCTATTAAATTTTGGTAGTTAAAGACGATAGGGTGGGGCGTTAAAGGGTAATCGTGTGTTATATCTGGAGTAAGATAGGAGTTAAGGACGATTTTCCTCCTTATTAGCATTTACAATTTTTTTTTTTTATAAAACCCATCCCTACTCTCAAAATTAAGCTTTTTGCCATTTTATAATAATTAAAATATATAAAAAGTTCTTTTTAATAAAATATAACAGATGGCGCCACACGTAGTTTTAAATATTGGGAAAAGTTAAACAACTTGTTACTGGATTTTTTAAAAACTTGCATAACTTAATTGGCGGAAACTGTAAATATTAACTTCCTCAGCTTGTTACATTAAAACACGTTAGTTGACAAGCACCATATTACATTACATTAAGGATAGAAACTGATGGATATTCTTACACACTTTATGCTTTATAAAATTAAATAGATTCCTGCAAAAATTACAACAATATTGTAATATACTTTTTAGGGCAGTGTCCAAATTATTAAAATCAAATGTGTTTGGTTTTATGTATTCATAAAACTTTATGCAAAAACATGACTATTTTAAAATCAATTTATTGATCAATAAAACATCTTAACCATTATTTCTCAAATGATTGGAAAGGGGATGATGATGTTAAATTCATTATTATACAAAAAGTAATTTATCATTTTAAAGAATCATAATATCAGCAAATTTAAGAAATCCTGTCACATTAAAAATAATATAAAAGATTCCATACAAAACGTGGTTAAAGAAGTTAAATTATCATTAATTATATTTACCTGTCTTTAACGTTCTGTATCGTAAATTTCTTTGCCTATGTCCAAATGTATATTGATGGCACCAACTTTTCAAATTTTTATTTGGGCGATAGGTCACAGGATATTTTAAAGTCTCTCTACATCTTAGCTGAGGTAAATTAACAGTATTTGGATGAATACTTAAAACAGAAATCTGACAATATTTTTCATATTTTTTCACTAATTCAGTACTTTCTTTTTTTGTTAATTGTTTTCGACATGAATCAAGTGCATGACGGCCTAGAGGAGAACATAATTCTGTCTCTTCAAATATTTTAATATTTTCTAACATATCTATGCAATGATGTTTATTACATGCTTTTGTTCTTGATATTTTTCTCAAAGGAAAAATTTTTTTGAGTTGTGAAACTGATCTGGTTTGGAGTTCTTTTTTCTGTATTAAATTTAAAGACTGGAGAAAAGCAATATCATCTATACATTCATCTGAAGGATCTTCAACTTCTGATGATGAGGATGATGATGAAATGAATGAAATGTTGTCCAAATCCTCATCGATAGAATATGAATTTTGCCTATAAATTAAAAAATAAATTATTTTAGTAATTAACAAATTTGATATAAAAAAACCAAGCAAAAATTAAAAAGCTATTAAATTAAAATAAAATAAATTCTCTTTATGAAATGTTTAAAATTTTCCCTTATTTAACATAACAGCATGAACTTAACAGAGTAAAGAAATAGATACAGTAAAAGATTGATATAATAGACCACCACAGGACTGAAGAAATTGTTTCCTTTTATTATAAAAGTCCATTTTATTGTGATTACTTGTTATTTTGACTTGTCTGTTATATCAAAAAGTCTATTACTATACAGTAGAATCATGTTAGATATCGATAACAGATCCAGAGAAAATATCTGTAGTTATTGGATGTTTTCTCCAAGTCCACAGGCCAAATCAATGTATTTTTATCTCATTTCAGTGGATCTTTATTGCAAATATAAGGGGATTCTACTGGTATATAGTAATATCAACTTGTCCATTACTGTATATTGATATTATGGACAAAAGTCAATTACATAGATGAAATTTCCTTTGTAAAGTATATAAGGCAAATTTTTATTAAACTTGTAAAAATAATGTTTCTATCTATCAGTCAAGCTAAAGCTTTTTATTTTCTTTTATGATCTACAGATTTGCTTTACACAACAAGCCAAGACTTGTGCTCAAAGAGAAAACTAAACCAAAACTGAATAAAACTAGTCCATGAGAAAATGAAACAAAAACTAATAATGTGAAAATCTACAATAATGATTAAAAATGAATTTATTTACAAAAATAATAATAAATTAAATAAAACGAAGACTAAAAAGTCCATAATAATGAAAGGACAGTGCTCTGTGGGATCTGAAAAATAGACCATAGTAGCAGGAGTCCGTTATAGTGAATAGTTTTCTTATAGTTTTCCTATACTTTGGCCAGACTGATATTAGCCATCCATAATAACACAATGTCTGTAATATCTAGTTTTTACTGTAATTTATTTATTTTCTTTTGGCATTGATGTTTAAATTTCCTGTTAAATTTAAGCTCACTTGTTATAAAATATTTGAAATTTGTTGATTTTTAAATTCCAAAAACTTGATATATTTGAAACAATTTTTTAAACTCAAATTTGATTTTCAATCTATATTAACTTTGAATATAGTCCCTATATAAGAAAAAGTTAAACATCCTGAATTAACCTAATGATGAAAATTGAAAGGAGTCTACTTGCAGAATAAAGCATTGTAGAATTTTAGTTGGTTGAGGTTTTTGGCACAAGCTGTACAGGCTATGCTGCACCATGCTATATGGTGGGCGTTACAAAAGGGTCATATATACATATATTAAAAAATTAACAACAAATAACAAGCATATATAACAGTACAAATTAACAAAACAACGAGGTATGTAATAGTATATAAATAAATAAATAAATAGATAAGTAAATAATTAAATAAGTAAATAAATAAATAATCAAATTTGTTTATAAATATTAGTCACTTTCAGAAAGTCCAGTAACTTATTAACATTTGGCCTAGGGCCGAGAATCCCTGTCAGACAAGCATTTCCAAAATACTGTCTACACCTCGTCTCTAAGGTAGAACAATTGCACAGTATGTGCTTCACACTTAGAAAGCAGATGCAATACTCACATACTGGCTGGTCTTCACCCTTCAAAAGGTGTTGATGAGTCAACCGAGTATGCCTGATTCTCAAACAAGTAAGAATAACTTCAGATCTCCTGTCATACTGTTTATTACATGTCCAATTCTCTATCATTGCTTTTATCTCGTGTAGTTCATTGTAGATTTGTGCATTCCACATATTTTGCCATCTCTCCGCTAGTTGTTTTTTAACAACTAGCTTCAAATCACCTCCTTCAATAAACATTGTATGCTGAGAAGGACTTGCTGACTTTGCATCTGCATCAGCTTTTTCATTTCCTCTTATACCTACATGGCCTGGGACCCAACAAAATTTTATAGATAAATTCCTCACAAGAACATAGCAAATCAGATTATGGATTTTAATCACTATAGAGTTCTTAGGTTCACACAAGATCAAAGCCTGAAGTGCACTAACTGAGTCAGTGTAAATCACGCAGCAATGACGACCTTTCCTATCTATATACTTTAGGGCTAAATAAATAGTATGCAACTCCACAGAAAAGATGGAAGAATTCAGTGCTATTTGTTCTGCCACAATTTCATTTTGGCAAACAAAAGCTGAGCCAACATAGTTATCTGATTTAGATCCATCAGTGTATACAGGAATTAAATTCCTGTCACAGTGTTGAATTTCTGCAAAGTGCTATCTATAGACATAGTCTGGCATGGTTTCTTTGGGAACTGCTTTAGGCTTAAGTCAACATCTATCACTGGAGTTGACCATGGTGAAATACTATTAACCTCAATCTGTGAGATGTTGCTTGTGTCCAGGTCAATCATGCTGCTTACATTCTCGATTCTTATGTCAAATGTAGGGACACAACTCGTCCAAGCTGCAAATAACCTTTTCAGCTGAGTATCTGAACTATTAGCTGAAAGTCTATTCAGAGATTTCTGTTTGATGTAGTAAAAAAGAGAACTGTTCTCTCCTGAGAGATAGTGGAGGCTCATAAGCATCCACATACAAACTTTGAACCACAGAAGTTTGAAATGCACCAGTGCACAAACGCAGTGCTTCATGGTGGATTGGATCCAGCATCTGAAGAGTAGATTCTCGTGCAGAGCCATAAACAATGCATCCATAATCCAGCTTTGAGCGGACAAGGGCTCTATAAATACTGAGCATAGAACATTTATCTGCTCCCCAGGATGAGCAGCATAGTACCTTTAAAAGGTTCAGAAATTTTAGATATCTACTCTTCAAATTGCACAAGTGTGGTAAAAATGTCAGTTTAGGGTCAAATAAAACTCCCAAAAACTTTACCTCATTGACCATTGGGATTTTAACCTGATTTAAGTGAATTTCAGGGTCCAGGTGCAAACCATGCCTTCAGCAAAAGTGGATGCACGAGGTCTTCTCCGTGTTCCATTGGTCTTGGACCAATTGTCTATATAATTTAGGGAGGTTTGCAGTTGTCTCTCAATAAAACTCATGTTACTAGACTGGCAGGAGATCTGAAAGTCATTCATGTACAGAGAGTGTTTCACACTGGGAGGAAGACAGTTAGCTATACTGTTTATTTTAATTAGGGAACAGAGTCACATCACACTCAAAATAAAGCCTTGAGGAACACCTTCTTGCGTGAAAGGCCTAGATAAAGTGTTGCCCATCCTGACATGGAATCTTTGATTCTGTAGGAAGTTTTTTATATAAATTGGTAAATTACCCTACAATCCGAATTGGTACAGATCATAGAGTATCCCGTATCGCCAACAGCAATCATAGGCCTTCTCTATGTCAAAAAAACACAGACACTAAGTGATGTCGTCTAACAAACGCTTTGTGTATAATGTTTCTAGGTTTACTAAGTTGTCCATCATACTTCTGTTCCTACGAAAGCCACTCCGATGTGGTGAAAAGTAGTTCTTTTCCTCTAGGAGGAACATCTGGCGTTTGTTTACCATCCTCTCAAAGAGTTTACAGAGACAACTTGTGAGAGAGATTGGTCTGTAATTAGAGGGATTCTTGCAGTGTTTACCTAGCTTGGGAATGGGAATAATAATAGATAGCCTCCAAGAGTCAAGAAAAGTATGTTCTGTCCATATTCTGTTAAACAGANAGCATGCAGGCATAATGCATTTCATAAATATTTGGCGACCCCAAAAAACTTCTGGCGACCCCCAGTTTGCGCACCACTGACCTAGTTGACCATCGCCCAGTCAGCTGACGGTGCCATTTATTCTATATCTGTCACTAAAGAAATTGGGCTGGACCTCGGAAGTGTTCAAAATAGTCCTGTTCGCACTTTCATTCAATTTTGATTTGGAATGTTAAAAAGTAAATTGTTTATTTTTATTATTCTGATTTCATCTCAAAAACTGAAAGATTTTGAAAGTTATTAAATTATTTTTTACTTATAAATCAACATTTGTTCATAAATATTATTTATATTTTTACCATAACACTGATACCCTAAAACTGCTTTTCATACACCAAATTCATATTTTCGTACATTTACAGCTGACAATCGATCAATATTAAGCAGTCGGGATGCTTTCTTCCAATTTTAATTTGGTGAATAAAACTGTGTATGAAAATAAATTTTTAACTTTTTAAGTATCGTAATGCATATATTAAGCAGAGAAAACAGTAAAGTTTTGTGTGTAGTAACATAGTAGGTCAGATAAGGGCGTCAACATGGTTCTGGGGATCGGAGATTCAAATCCGCGTGAATCCCAGGAATTTTCATAGAAGTCTGAACCGGATAAATTGGGTCCCGTCCCTCACTTTCCAGTCGTCCCATCGTGAGCCACCTAGCTAAACCCATGATAAGCCTGGAAAAAAATCCCCTAGTGCTCAAAGGATGAGGAAATAAAAATGGAAAAAAAAAGTATAGCAACATTAGAACTTTGTTGCTGTTAAGAACAAATCATACAGGAACACTGAGTGGAAAAAGTAGGTTTATTGACACAAAAGAATATGCATTTCGGGCTTAACGCCCCTCTTCAGTCCTCTTATATCAAATACAGTGGTGCCTCGTATAACGTACGCTGCGAACAACGGACTTTCCGTTCGGCAGTTACGTGAGGCGAATAATGGACTTTCTGCGAACAAGTGCGAATGATGTTTCCACTCTTTTGCCGTTGCCAATGACAATCTGCTATTTTTATAATATATTAGTATTATTAGAATATATTATTAGNGAGGGTTGGGTCGCTGACACCTTTCCCTTTCCTCTGTTAAAACGGGCAAGGAACAGTGATTTTAATGGTTTCCAGATATGGAGAACAATGTATGGTGACACAAAGTGCAAGTTTCGTAGAAAGGTTTTTCTACGGTTTCCAAACCTTTCTCACACAAGGAAAAATGGGTTAGGAGACATTGGGTATAACTTTATGGAACTAAGGAGGGCGGTAGGCTCGAAGTTTGGTAATTACTGGGTTAAATGATATGACAACTAATATTCTCCAGATTTATTCAATATCATACAGAATAACGTTATAAAATCAATTACTGTAATTAAAGTTTGCAACAGATAAAATCTACTTAATGCGTATTTTTCCCGGCTCTGTTATATTAATATAGAATAGAGAAAATGACCCCTTCAAGATTTTTAATTTTTGGGCTCAGAGAACCTTGAATCGTCGAGGGAAAAAAATCGGAGGTTTTTCCACTTAAGTATAGATGTAGAGAGATAGTGCGTGTGCGGGGAACGATTTTGTTCACCCTCTTTGAAGCTTAATAACTTGTGCTTTATGTCAAAAATTTCTGACATTTTGCAGGGAGTTTTGTATATTAGGGAATTGATTCTATTAAATTTTGGTAGTTAAAGACGATAGGGTGGGGCGTTAAAGGGTAATCGTGTGTTATATCTGGAGTAAGATAGGAGTTAAGGACGATTTTCCTCCTTATTAGCATTTACAATTTTTTTTTTTTATAAAACCCATCCCTACTCTCAAAATTAAGCTTTTTGCCATTTTATAATAATTAAAATATATAAAAAGTTCTTTTTAATAAAATATAACAGATGGCGCCACACGTAGTTTTAAATATTGGGAAAAGTTAAACAACTTGTTACTGGATTTTTTAAAAACTTGCATAACTTAATTGGCGGAAACTGTAAATATTAACTTCCTCAGCTTGTTACATTAAAACACGTTAGTTGACAAGCACCATATTACATTACATTAAGGATAGAAACTGATGGATATTCTTACACACTTTATGCTTTATAAAATTAAATAGATTCCTGCAAAAATTACAACAATATTGTAATATACTTTTTAGGGCAGTGTCCAAATTATTAAAATCAAATGTGTTTGGTTTTATGTATTCATAAAACTTTATGCAAAAACATGACTATTTTAAAATCAATTTATTGATCAATAAAACATCTTAACCATTATTTCTCAAATGATTGGAAAGGGGATGATGATGTTAAATTCATTATTATACAAAAAGTAATTTATCATTTTAAAGAATCATAATATCAGCAAATTTAAGAAATCCTGTCACATTAAAAATAATATAAAAGATTCCATACAAAACGTGGTTAAAGAAGTTAAATTATCATTAATTATATTTACCTGTCTTTAACGTTCTGTATCGTAAATTTCTTTGCCTATGTCCAAATGTATATTGATGGCACCAACTTTTCAAATTTTTATTTGGGCGATAGGTCACAGGATATTTTAAAGTCTCTCTACATCTTAGCTGAGGTAAATTAACAGTATTTGGATGAATACTTAAAACAGAAATCTGACAATATTTTTCATATTTTTTCACTAATTCAGTACTTTCTTTTTTTGTTAATTGTTTTCGACATGAATCAAGTGCATGACGGCCTAGAGGAGAACATAATTCTGTCTCTTCAAATATTTTAATATTTTCTAACATATCTATGCAATGATGTTTATTACATGCTTTTGTTCTTGATATTTTTCTCAAAGGAAAAATTTTTTTGAGTTGTGAAACTGATCTGGTTTGGAGTTCTTTTTTCTGTATTAAATTTAAAGACTGGAGAAAAGCAATATCATCTATACATTCATCTGAAGGATCTTCAACTTCTGATGATGAGGATGATGATGAAATGAATGAAATGTTGTCCAAATCCTCATCGATAGAATATGAATTTTGCCTATAAATTAAAAAATAAATTATTTTAGTAATTAACAAATTTGATATAAAAAAACCAAGCAAAAATTAAAAAGCTATTAAATTAAAATAAAATAAATTCTCTTTATGAAATGTTTAAAATTTTCCCTTATTTAACATAACAGCATGAACTTAACAGAGTAAAGAAATAGATACAGTAAAAGATTGATATAATAGACCACCACAGGACTGAAGAAATTGTTTCCTTTTATTATAAAAGTCCATTTTATTGTGATTACTTGTTATTTTGACTTGTCTGTTATATCAAAAAGTCTATTACTATACAGTAGAATCATGTTAGATATCGATAACAGATCCAGAGAAAATATCTGTAGTTATTGGATGTTTTCTCCAAGTCCACAGGCCAAATCAATGTATTTTTATCTCATTTCAGTGGATCTTTATTGCAAATATAAGGGGATTCTACTGGTATATAGTAATATCAACTTGTCCATTACTGTATATTGATATTATGGACAAAAGTCAATTACATAGATGAAATTTCCTTTGTAAAGTATATAAGGCAAATTTTTATTAAACTTGTAAAAATAATGTTTCTATCTATCAGTCAAGCTAAAGCTTTTTATTTTCTTTTATGATCTACAGATTTGCTTTACACAACAAGCCAAGACTTGTGCTCAAAGAGAAAACTAAACCAAAACTGAATAAAACTAGTCCATGAGAAAATGAAACAAAAACTAATAATGTGAAAATCTACAATAATAATTAAAAATGAATTTATTTACAAAAATAATAATAAATTAAATAAAACGAAGACTAAAAAGTCCATAATAATGAAAGGACAGTGCTCTGTGGGATCTGAAAAATAGACCATAGTAGCAGGAGTCCGTTATAGTGAATAGTTTTCTTATAGTTTTCCTATACTTTGGCCAGACTGATATTAGCCATCCATAATAACACAATGTCTGTAATATCTAGTTTTTACTGTAATTTATTTATTTTCTTTTGGCATTGATGTTTAAATTTCCTGTTAAATTTAAGCTCACTTGTTATAAAATATTTGAAATTTGTTGATTTTTAAATTCCAAAAACTTGATATATTTGAAACAATTTTTTAAACTCAAATTTGATTTTCAATCTATATTAACTTTGAATATAGTCCCTATATAAGAAAAAGTTAAACATCCTGAATTAACCTAATGATGAAAATTGAAAGGAGTCTACTTGCAGAATAAAGCATTGTAGAATTTTAGTTGGTTGAGGTTTTTGGCACAAGCTGTACAGGCTATGCTGCACCATGCTATATGGTGGGCGTTACAAAAGGGTCATATATACATATATTAAAAAATTAACAACAAATAACAAGCATATATAACAGTACAAATTAACAAAACAACGAGGTATGTAATAGTATATAAATAAATAAATAAATAGATAAGTAAATAATTAAATAAGTAAATAAATAAATAATCAAATTTGTTTATAAATATTAGTCACTTTCAGAAAGTCCAGTAACTTATTAACATTTGGCCTAGGGCCGAGAATCCCTGTCAGACAAGCATTTCCAAAATACTGTCTACACCTCGTCTCTAAGGTAGAACAATTGCACAGTATGTGCTTCACACTTAGAAAGCAGATGCAATACTCACATACTGGCTGGTCTTCACCCTTCAAAAGGTGTTGATGAGTCAACCGAGTATGCCTGATTCTCAAACAAGTAAGAATAACTTCAGATCTCCTGTCATACTGTTTATTACATGTCCAATTCTCTATCATTGCTTTTATCTCGTGTAGTTCATTGTAGATTTGTGCATTCCACATATTTTGCCATCTCTCCGCTAGTTGTTTTTTAACAACTAGCTTCAAATCACCTCCTTCAATAAACATTGTATGCTGAGAAGGACTTGCTGACTTTGCATCTGCATCAGCCTTTTCATTTCCTCTTATACCTACATGGCCTGGGACCCAACAAAATTTTATAGATAAATTCCTCACAAGAACATAGCAAATCAGATTATGGATTTTAATCACTATAGAGTTCTTAGGTTCACACAAGATCAAAGCCTGAAGTGCACTAACTGAGTCAGTGTAAATCACGCAGCAATGACGACCTTTCCTATCTATATACTTTAGGGCTAAATAAATAGTATGCAACTCCACAGAAAAGATGGAAGAATTCAGTGCTATTTGTTCTGCCACAATTTCATTTTGGCAAACAAAAGCTGAGCCAACATAGTTATCTGATTTAGATCCATCAGTGTATATAGGAATTAAATTCCTGTCACAGTGTTGAATTTCTGCAAAGTGCTATCTATAGACATAGTCTGGCATGGTTTCTTTGGGAACTGCTTTAGGCTTAAGTCAACATCTATCACTGGAGTTGACCATGGTGAAATACTATTAACCTCAATCTGTGAGATGTTGCTTGTGTCCAGGTCAATCATGCTGCTTACATTCTCGATTCTTATGTCAAATGTAGGGACACAACTCGTCCAAGCTGCAAATAACCTTTTCAGCTGAGTATCTGAACTATTAGCTGAAAGTCTATTCAGAGATTTCTGTTTGATGTAGTAAAAAAGAGAACTGTTCTCTCCTGAGAGATAGTGGAGGCTCATAAGCATCCACATACAAACTTTGAACCACAGAAGTTTGAAATGCACCAGTGCACAAACGCAGTGCTTCATGGTGGATTGGATCCAGCATCTGAAGAGTAGATTCTCGTGCAGAGCCATAAACAATGCATCCATAATCCAGCTTTGAGCGGACAAGGGCTCTATAAATACTGAGCATAGAACATTTATCTGCTCCCCAGGATGAGCAGCATAGTACCTTTAAAAGGTTCAGAAATTTTAGATATCTACTCTTCAAATTGCACAAGTGTGGTAAAAATGTCAGTTTAGGGTCAAATAAAACTCCCAAAAACTTTACCTCATTGACCATTGGGATTTTAACCTGATTTAAGTGAATTTCAGGGTCCAGGTGCAAACCATGCCTTCAGCAAAAGTGGATGCACGAGGTCTTCTCCGTGTTCCATTGGTCTTGGACCAATTGTCTATATAATTTAGGGAGGTTTGCAGTTGTCTCTCAATAAAACTCATGTTACTAGACTGGCAGGAGATCTGAAAGTCATTCATGTACAGAGAGTGTTTCACACTGGGAGGAAGACAGTTAGCTATACTGTTTATTTTAATTAGGGAACAGAGTCACATCACACTCAAAATAAAGCCTTGAGGAACACCTTCTTGCGTGAAAGGCCTAGATAAAGTGTTGCCCATCCTGACATGGAATCTTTGATTCTGTAGGAAGTTTTTTATATAAATTGGTAAATTACCCTACAATCCGAATTGGTACAGATCATAGAGTATCCCGTATCGCCAACAGCAATCATAGGCCTTCTCTATGTCAAAAAAACACAGACACTAAGTGATGTCGTCTAACAAACGCTTTGTGTATAATGTTTCTAGGTTTACTAAGTTGTCCATCATACTTCTGTTCCTACGAAAGCCACTCCGATGTGGTGAAAAGTAGTTCTTTTCCTCTAGGAGGAACATCTGGCGTTTGTTTACCATCCTCTCAAAGAGTTTACAGAGACAACTTGTGAGAGAGATTGGTCTGTAATTAGAGGGATTCTTGCAGTGTTTACCTAGCTTGGGAATGGGAATAATAATAGATAGCCTCCAAGAGTCAAGAAAAGTATGTTCTGTCCATATTCTGTTAAACAGATTCAGAAGATTACAAAGACAAAGACTCCAAATTGTTTGACAGGTTTTAAATCACGCTGTAGTGGATTTTATCTGGGCCTACAGCAGTATTCTCTGTGCGAGAAATCCCCGAGCTGTTTGTAATTCGATTCCGGTGAATGGCACATTATATTCTTCATTAGATGAGGAATAGAAATTTAAATTTTGTTTTTCTCTTTGGGCTTTATAAGCTTGAAAATTCCTAGTATACATTATACTGCTGGATGAAAAAGAAAATGTTTCACCCAACAAATCAGCAATACCCTGTATATCACTGATTATTGTGCCATTATTTTCCAGCATGGACAGAGCATGAGAAGCATATTTCCCATTAATTTTATGGATTTTATCCCAGACTACTTTTGAGCTAGTGGAAAGTGTTATGCTAGAAACATGCTTCCTACAAGAATCCCTTTGGCTTTGCCTCCTTATTCTTCTGTCATTTGCGTTTGCTTTTTGGAAAGCTATCAAATTGTTAGCAGTGGGAAATTTTCAGAAGATACCCCACGGCTAACAATTTGATAGCTTTCCATGCTTTCTTTTGTTTTTTAAATGCTGCCTCGCAATTCTGACCCACCATGATTTTGGCTGCTTTGGATATCTGGCTGATGTTTTTCCCATTGTTTTTTCAGCTGCCTGAATAATACTGGTAGTGACAACTTCAACTGCATCATTGATATCAGCAGTATTGACCATTTCCTCAGAGATGTTGGCCAAAGAAGAGAATGCCAATCTGCCAAAGAAAAGGCCAATCTGCCATTTCAAGTTTCCAGCATGGTAAATGGGCTGTTTCACAGCTTTTTCTGCCTTGGTATTTTAGAAATATTGGGAAGTGGTCACTAGAGAGTGGATTAGATCCAACCTCCCATCAAAATGCTGAAAACAGGTTTGGACTTGCTAAGGATAGATCGATGGCAGTGAAAGTTCTTGTTGAAGCATGGAAGTATGTCACTTCTCCAGTACTAAATAAATATAGTTGGTGATTGCCTATGAATCTTTCGTTGGATCTGCCTCACATCGGATTTTGACTGTTGAAATCACCGAGTAAAAGAAATGGAGTCGGCAGCTGTTCAACCAAGGCATCCAACTCATCCTCATTGACTCTGACATCTGGTGGCAAGTATATAGAACAAACTGTGACAGTTACTCCAATAGAAATTCTGACTGCCACAGCTTGTAAATCAGTTATTTGTACCAGTAAGGATGGGGTGTGATTTGAAACTACAATAGCCACACCTCCACTGGCACAGTTGTGGCTATCATCATCCTTGCGGTAGAGATTGAATCCTTTTAAAGTAATTCTTTCTCCAGGTTTCAGATGGGTCTCCTGGAGTGCCACGCAGAGAGATAAGGTAGATAGATGATGTCAAGTGTTTAATGTCAGAGAAGTTGTTGCGGAAACCACGACAGTTTTATTGGATTATTTTATAATTCATTATGTGTTTGAGGCAGCATTTTTAGCAAGGTTATTCTTCTATTTTTTCACAAAGTTATTTCACAGTTTTTCTTTTGGAGGTGATGATGATGGTGTCATCACCTTATTAGTCTTTTCATCAGAGAAGTCAAAGAACTCACTCATAGACTGAGTTTCCGATTTTTTAGATTTAGAGAGGGCTGCATTCATTCTTTGTTTATTAAGTGGGTTCTTACTGGCTTTTTTGGAACCCACATTCCTAGTTGTTACCTCTGTTTTAGGTAAGAGTGGTTTTGTCTTGTTACTTTCTTTTTCTGTTGCTTTGGTAGATGGCAGACATTTTTCATGGGGAGTCAGAGATTCATTTGGTGAAGCAGAAATGTGTCTGAACGCCACGTCTTTGTGGATTTCAGAACAGCAGCAAATGTCTTCTGTTTCACTGGTGCACTTAAAGTGACCATGCGATGTGCCTCCGGGTAAGATATATTATTAACAGTCTTCAATCGCTGAATCTCTCTCTCTCTCTGCCATGCAGTGAATTTTCGGGAGTAGGCAGGATGGAATCTTTGCAGTTTACACAGCATGGAGAACTTGTGCATTCAGTACTCTCGCGGTCTTCAATTCCACACTGTGCGCATGCTTTTTTTCCTCTGCATGATGTTTGTGAGTGTCCAAACTACTGACATTTAAAGCAATGCAGCGGATTTGGAATGTACGGGCAAACTGGGCACGGAGTTATCCTGCTGAAACAGAAGATGGCAATGTTGGTTTGTTGAAAGTCAATATAAGGTGTTTTGTTGGTATCGACTTGCCATCTCGACGAATCAAAATTTGTCGAACAGCACTGATACCTTGGCCTGAAAGACCAATCTGGATATCTGATTCTTCCTCAGAAATCAGATCGGTTTCAGATATCACACCACGTGATGAGTTCAAACTTGTGTGTGGTGTGATGGGTGACCATTATTTCTCCTAGAGGCTTCGTTTTCAGAAGCTTTGCTGACTGTTGAGGGGAGGCTGCTTCTACAAGTAGATCTCCTGACCTCAATTTTTGGACTTTTTTAAAGATTTCCAATGTCAATTCAAACAATTTTTGAATCAAAAAAGGAGAATGTTTAGATAGAGGTGTTTCTCCTGCAGCATGAACAATAAGGTAAGCTGGTTGATTGGAAGAAATGACATCCTTCGGTGGTAATGCGTCAGTACATGTTTTAGGTTTTAGTGAATCCATATTTAGAGATAATTATTCAGTTCCTAGTGACCCCACCCACCATGGGGCCCAACAAGGGGATGCCGCCACATGGAAGACTACCATAGACCGTCACACCAGGGTTTTCCAGGAGCTATACCCTCACAATGCAGTCGAGAAGAGCACATTTTGTCTGACGTGTCTGCCTGGTCTGCATCGATCAGTTGACTCCAGGCCGAGATCAAGAATGACTCAATGACCAGCTGACTGACTCAAACAGCCTGATTTGAGTCTCCCGTTTATCCGAAGCAGGGGCCGAAGCAGTGTGTTGGGGATGTTATGTTGCCCCTCAACTACCAGGATACCCCTTTCCGGCATACGGGACACCAAGCATGGCAAACACATGGGTGGGCGTTCAGATCCCAGAGATGGTAAAGAAAAATTACTAAACCATCTCTGGGAGGTCCTCTCACCACGGAAAGGAACCCACATCAAGGGGCAGAATTTTAGAGATTAATGTTAAGGTTTTTTTTAACTATTTTTACTTTGAAAAAATATCTATATTTACAGCATTTACACTTCAATGAAAACTAGAAAAAAAAATTACATTTACAAAACTAAAAAAACTCGTGTGTGTCACCACATGTTGATTAAAATGTGATCAACATTAAAAATCTGTGTTGATTCTGAGAGGATAGAAAAGGGCCCACCAGTGACCAAGCAGTTCTGTTCCCTGAACACTGGGAGTTCAATTATGGATTTGCACCTCATAAGGACAGGCTGGCCACATGGAGTTTTCTGGATTTTCTCCATGTCTGTAATGCTTGAATAGGGGCAAGTTACCCTTAAAAATACCTCCTAGAAGGCATCGCCCTAGGCAGATTGCCCAAGTGTTGCATTGCCATAACTTAATAAAACAAACAAAACAAAAAGAGGATAGAAAATAATAAAAATTCTGAACTAGATCCTGTCATCAATTCTATCAAAGTAAAAAATCAGATATATCAGTTTCTTTCTCAGATTTAAGTTACAATAAAGTAAAAAACATTTATTTTTTTGTTTTAAGTTGATCCTGTAAAATTACATGGAAAAAGCATCTATGATTTGTTCTGGTGAATCCAAGAATACTACATACACACAAACTTTTTATTGACACTTTAAAATATTTTTTAAACGTTTTTGCCAATTCAATAATTTGAAAACCTATTTTCAAACTTTAAAGTTTTTGCCTGTAAAACTAATTTTTAATGAAAATGTTTTCAATTTTAAAACAAGCATATTCAATTAAAAATAACTAATTAGATTAAATTATAGAAAGCAGTTGATAATTGATTTTTTTGCAATTCTCAGCTACTTTATTTATAATTATGATTCTAGCTTATTTACTAAGGAACTAAAAACAAAAGCCAGAATATAGTTATTTGAAAATTCTAACAATTTTTAAATCAAATAGCCATAGTTATCTGAGCATCTTGCCTTAAAACTAATTGATCATAAGTAATATCTTACCTATTTTTAAATGATGAACAGCCTCTAGTTTCTTCATTTAAAAATCTTTTAGAAGCTAAAAATAAAATATATACTAAATAATGCTATCACTTTATTTCAAAAACTAAGTTCATTTCATTAAATATTCCATATACATTTGTCCTTGTTGCGGAAACCACGACAGTTTTATTGGATTATTTTATAATTCATTATGTGTTTGAGGCAGCATTTTTAGCAAGGTTATTCTTCTATTTTTTCACAAAGTTATTTCACAGTTTTTCTTTTGGAGGTGATGATGATGGTGTCATCACCTTATTAGTCTTTTCATCAGAGAAGTCAAAGAACTCACTCATAGACTGAGTTTCCGATTTTTTAGATTTAGAGAGGGCTGCATTCATTCTTTGTTTATTAAGTGGGTTCTTACTGGCTTTTTTGGAACCCACATTCCTAGTTGTTACCTCTGTTTTAGGTAAGAGTGGTTTTGTCTTGTTACTTTCTTTTTCTGTTGCTTTGGTAGATGGCAGACATTTTTCATGGGGAGTCAGAGATTCATTTGGTGAAGCAGAAATGTGTCTGAACGCCACGTCTTTGTGGATTTCAGAACAGCAGCAAATGTCTTCTGTTTCACTGGTGCACTTAAAGTGACCATGCGATGTGCCTCCGGGTAAGATATATTATTAACAGTCTTCAATCGCTGAATCTCTCTCTCTCTCTGCCATGCAGTGAATTTTCGGGAGTAGGCAGGATGGAATCTTTGCAGTTTACACAGCATGGAGAACTTGTGCATTCAGTACTCTCGTGGTCTTCATTTCCACACTGTGCGCATGCTTTTTTTCCTCTGCATGATGTTTGTGAGTGTCCAAACTACTGACATTTAAAGCAATGCAGCGGATTTGGAATGTACGGGCAAACTGGGCACGGAGTTATCCTGCTGAAACAGAAGATGGCAATGTTGGTTTGTTGAAAGTCAATATAAGGTGTTTTGTTGGTATCGACTTGCCATCTCGACGAATCAAAATTTGTCGAACAGCACTGATACCTTGGCCTGAAAGACCAATCTGGATATCTGATTCTTCCTCAGAAATCAGATCGGTTTCAGATATCACACCACGTGATGAGTTCAAACTTGTGTGTGGTGTGATGGGTGACCATTATTTCTCCTAGAGGCTTCGTTTTCAGAAGCTTTGCTGACTGTTGAGGGGAGGCTGCTTCTACAAGTAGATCTCCTGACCTCAATTTTTGGACTTTTTTAAAGATTTCCAATGTCAATTCAAACAATTTTTGAATCAAAAAAGGAGAATGTTTAGATAGAGGTGTTTCTCCTGTAGCATGAACAATAAGGTAAGCTGGTTGATTGGAAGAAATGACATCCTTCGGTGGTAATGCGTCAGTACATGTTTTAGGTTTTAGTGAATCCATATTTAGAGATAATTATTCAGTTCCTAGTGACCCCACCCACCATGGGGCCCAACAAGGGGATGCCGTCACATGGGTGACTCCCATAGACCGTCACACCAGGGTTTTCCAGGAGCTATACCCTCACAATGCAGTCGAGAAGAGCACAT